AGTGAATCCACATCCAACGAGCCGAGCTCATGGAACACGACTCCTGGCAGGGGGCTGATCAGTGATTCCGCATATACACTGTCGAGTTCAGCCAGTCAGTCCCAATCAAGCCCGGTGATCATGAATTTCAACCTCGCGGGGCTATCAAGGGATCAGCAACAGTTACAGATGCCGTACGATTTTGAGTGGATTCACCAATTTAGCACTGAGCTAGATGCAAATTCATTTGGAGTGGAAATAATGGACACTGGGCGCTCTATTCCACCACAAGATATTTTTGACTACTACTCAACTCACGCTAGCTCGCAGCTAGTTGCTAGTCTCAACAATGAGGATAGTCTCGGGCCATCGATCAATAACAAGAGAAAAAGAGAGCATTCAGACGACGCAGGTAACAATGTGAATGCGAGAGCAAAACGATTTATTGAAGAACAGGCTCTTCGAGCCCGCGACCGCATAACAATGGACTCGGTATCAAGACATACAAGCCTTTCATCCCTTTAATTGTCGGAAAGGGGGGTGGCAGGATCTCAATTTCGAATAAATAAATTCGGTTTTTTGATGTGGGATGTCTTTTGCTAGATATTTCTTTTCAACTGGGAATTAGGGTAATGATTGCCAATTGGTGCTTAAATTTGTTGATATCGGGATGGACTGCGCATTCAAAGAAAAACCCAACAGACAATTCCGGGCGCAATTGACATACCCAACCTTCTTCAAGTCGCAGACATTCTATTCGTTTATCCATTGAAAATTGAACTTAGGATTGAAATGCCCCCGGAAAGAAGTCTAGTTCAAGTCCTTGATATATCATGTTACTTTGATCAGCTTAAATATGGAAAAATTTGTTCCGGCATATGTTATTAATCTGATTGGCTAAGGATAGACTAAATCAAGATTTGAAGGTACATGAACGCGTAAATTGGAGCAGGGTATGCTGGAGGTGAGTTGCCTTCTTCCTCTGATCCTCCAGATCGAGCTCCATCTCCCGCAATTGCTGTTTGAGAAGACCCCTCTCATAGACGAGCCAGTCATGCGAGCTTTGAAGCTTACTGTTTTCATCCGCCAAATGCACATCCTGGGCGGACTTCACGATATAATACTCCCACATAGCTAAGTACAAATCGAGAAGGTTAAAGCCTTGCGCCACAAGGGGCCCATCGAGTTCCAGTAGTTGTCTTATCTGCACCGTCAGAGCGCCAACGGGTTGGGGTTGCTGCGGTCATCAGTACGTGTGCAAGAATAGTTGATTTCCCGTGACAGGACACTCACCTGGGGGATTTTACTGGGGCTCCCGTCAAGCACCTCCGCTTTCGAGAACGAGGCTTCCCCATCCTCAGACAACTCGTGCGGCCTTTTGTTTGGATAATCGATCAATGGTTCTGGGCTTCGACAATGCTTTCGGTCCATAGGCGAGGACATCTTGTAGAATTTGGTGGCGGCTCAAATATGCGGAAAATAAAATATGAATCATGAATGAATAGTAGCAGCGCAGTTTGAGCGCTTATATATATGTTTCTTTTTGGCCGTCGGGCTTTGCAATAACAGAATGTTTGCCAAGAGAGTGATCAAGAAAGTCAATTTTGTATTGCAAGGTGCGGTCTCCCAACGTTGAGTAAACGCCTCGGTGGACTTCAACACTTCAATCACCAACAAACTTAATCCATGGGTTGAAGTTCCCAGTTGCCAAGCCTAATTTGGAAATTCTCAATTTGACTGGTTTTAAAATCGTGAATTTTGGCATCCTCGACCTGGCCGCTATCAACATATACAGGGTGACGCAACGCTCATCTAGATCTTAGAAGCATAACATCACCCGCTTATTTTCTGATGGGTAAAATGCCATCCATTAAAATACACCAATACCGGAATATTGCCGGACCCTAGGTACGCTTGTCTCATGATAAGAATACAATAGCGCCTGCCAGCCAATTTAACTTGTAGGTGAGCCTGATTCTAGTATCTTTAGATTATAAGAATGGAGAACAATAACCTTCGACATCTTCTGACCCATTCAATAGGCTTCGGGGAAAACAGTGGATATGAGGTGAACGAAGATAGTGAGCTTAGCCATTAGAGCGCTAAAAACAAACATGATTTCTCACCTCGTGAGCAATATTCTATGGAGCCTTACTCTGCAAATCAAGTACAATATGTAGAAACCTGGAGGCAAGAAATGGTGTTATATTGATGCCAGACAGAAGATGAGGCTCCAGCGATTGGGTCAAACATGCGGGTTGAACTGGAAGTTGGGAACACGCCATTAATCACGTTAGGCCTTCCAAATCTCGTAGCCTGTATTACCGGAAGAGAACATAAAAGCGAGCATCGCACATCCGGTCTTACCCATCAAGTCTAGCACCATGCGTCTTGTTCCTTATCTCTTCACTGTCGGCCTACCCCTGGCCCTTGCGGGCCGATTTCAGCTTTACGATGTCGATGGAAAATGCCGTATCTATTCAGTTGACAACTGGGATTGTACGGGCACCTCGGATCCAATTGGGAATCTCAAAGGAAAAACATGTGACTGTGAGAAAGCATCCCCATGCATCCTGGATTATTGCTAATAAGCCACTCGCCAACAGTGAAATCAGGAGTGGCGGACGGGCCGCGCTTCATGAACGTCTCGATCTGTGGCCATGATGCCGGGAACAGAAGCTCGGTCGCGACCGTTTCACTCGAGGATACTGGCTTGATATGGTTCCAAAACCTGCAAGGTCAGACGGCCAGTTGCACAATTGACGCTTCTCTCCAAGTCGGGAGTGAGTGCACAGTTGGCCGAAACACCACCGAGAGAGTGACGACCACTTCGTCCACCACTCGAACTCTGGCCGTTGTGCGTCCTACGGAAATTCCATCCCCGACTCAAAAGAACACGACCGGACTAGCGACGGACTGCTGATGCATCCTTTGCTTTAGGTGGACCTGCGAAGTATTTTGCTGTCAAACCCTGGCTTTGCTCATGAGACTCAAATCTCCCTCGTAGCGACGGTAAATTAGCTTTAAATTTTTCTCGGCTCCAAGGAGTGACAATATATCTGAATGGACAACTATTGGTACTTCGGTTATTTATAGCTCTAATTGACGGTACATCATCTGTCTCATGGCAAACATCTGCGAATAAACCGAGCCAAACCACTTGGCTCTAAGTATGAGCAGCTTTTTTTACGGCCACTCAATTGAATGGGATATTCGTCCCAATTAAGTGCTCCTCTCGGGGTGGCTCTTCCTCCCAAGACCCCCATAGCACCAAGTAGTTGAGAGTGTATGATCCCTCCTCTTGCACGCGACGCACTGCAATAGCTTTGATTGGCCATAATTGGCCAAGCTAAAAAGACGTCAGTCTCGGCCATGCTGAACTGGAATAGGTGGTTGTCTTACCTCCTCGTTCTGCCCGTTAGACCAGTCCCGCCCGGTCGAGTCTGGTACGCTCGACGAGTATCCAGTGGTAGCTTCATCGGAAATGACAAAGTCATAGTCTTCGGTATTTTCGGACGGAGTGTTCTCGTTTGTTGACTGTGAAGACGATTCGTCGGCAGTGACAGGTTCTTCAGGGTAGTTAGGCCCAGACAAGGTGGTAAAAAGTTCGTTTTTCGGATGCATAGCCATTAGTAAAATGAGAGTTGGGATGAAAGTTGAGGAAAACGAAATGAATAGTGATAGAGAATGGTAGCCTGGGCCCCTTATAAGCGTAGAATGTTGGTATTGGTGGCCCGCTTTTTCGGACTGAATTTTTCTTGTGATCTAAAGTGGCCGTTGGTTTATCGAGCGCACCTGTTCACTGAGCGGCTATTTACTGAGCCCCTGTTTACTGGACACCTGTTTATTGAATGGTTGTTTACTGAACGCCTGTTTATTGAACACCTGTTTATTGAACACCTGTTTATTGAACACCTGTTTATTGAACACCTGTTTATTGAACGCCTGTTTACTGAACGCCTGTTTACAACTGGATTTTTCACTACTCGCGTCTGTTTAATCAAGACATGCTAGTAAACTCGAATGAATAGCTCGTGTGCATTTTATTCAAGTAAAAGATAAGCCAATACTAATCAAATGCTCAGTCTATGGGTAGCAGCCACGGAGCAGAAAAAAACCCCTATCCCTTCTTGAAACTTCTTGAAACTGACGCACTCCAAGCTGAGTGATAATTCGAGGATTAAAGAACATGACTGCACTTCACCGCATTTCAGAGCATATGTCTCTACCATACGTGATGATCGAGTCACCTGCCACCGTTGTCTCCTGCATCAATACCTGCAATGTTTCAAAAACCTCAAGGCAGGGACTCGCAATCAAAATCGGCTGCGTGAGCAGTTAGAGCTCTCTGATCAATGATCATTCGTATGATGGGCGCTAGCTGTTGGTGAGCGGAGCATGACATATGAAGTGGCCATAGTTCCTCGCATGCTTCCTGGGCTCTGCGCACACGCGTCACTAGCTGATATGTCTTTTCTTGTAGCCGGAAGATTTCCGTATAGATGGAAGTCATATACTCCTGTGTCTGCGACTCAAAAAGCTCGTCAAGTATCTTGATCAAGTCTGCCGTGCTCTCTTGCAGTATTTTGAGTGCTTTGTAACATTCGCGCAGGTAGCGATTCTCGATTTGCTGCTGACCAATTTTTTGCGATAATTCAATGAGCTGTTGCATATTGCAGGGCCTATTATATGTAAAAAGTAAGATGATGCGGGCAATGAAATCAGTCACTGGACAGTTGGGCTTGACTCTACTACTAAGTTCAAGTTTTTATGCGCCTAAGATATAGTCAGTCGATAAAAATATCCAAAGCCTTCCGTCAAATTGAGTGGTTCATTCACAAGCTCTGGCACACATGTTCACTCAACGGAGCGTTTTCTGCGTTTAGTTGGCGATTCACCGTTCCGCAGAGATCAACGCTTGATATGAGCACCGAATGTCAGTGAGAAAGATTTTGAGCCTATTTATTGACACCCAATCCGCTGTCTTCCCCTCTCAGAGTAAGTCTCCTCTTCACTCCCCAATGAATACCAATCGCCTTCCCAGCTGCCTTTGCGGCGCCATCGTCGCCAGTGTTGGCTTCTTCTATTTCTTGGTCTACGCAGTGCAATTCCTTCTCTTCCATCTGCCGACCTCCCTGGATTTGGTACCCACAGCTGTGCTCGTCCTTCTTTTCGCTGTCGGCATTGCATCCTGCTATCTGTATGCCGCTCTGAGCTATGTGATTGAGATCATCACAGACGAGCCACTGGCAAGTGAGAGTGGTCTTATCAAGCTCGTGGGGACTATGTCGATATGGGCTACTGCCCTGCCTGCAGCAGGTTTCCTCCTACCGATTTGGTCTTGGACACAGCTCGGCTACCTTGTTGGCTTGACAGCAGTTGCACTAGGTCATCTTCAAGTCAGAAATAGACAGTCAACGCAGCGTTCCGGCACTTCTCTTGATATCCTGTCCATCATCATGCTAGCGCTGATGCCAACAATGCATGCTCTTGCGGGGCCAGCGTCGTTCCCGAGCCCCCTCGCTACTGCATTTGTGAAGTTGTTGGCCAGCAACATTTTCGGGCTAGTCATCTACATGTTGCAGCCATTGGAGGCTTTGGGAGTTCCACATCTTTGGGGGCCTAGCTTTCATGCGATGTGCTTGATGACCACCATTGCGCTCATTATTTATTCGCACGAGGTGATGCAAGTGCTTATTGCACGAATGGCTTAATGGGGGCTATCGTAGCCTACTGCGTCTAGCCATTCAGCCTAAATCTACGCGAAAAGGGACCGTCTTTCATCGATTGTGGCTGAGGGGCCGCTGTTACTGCGAGTTGCGAGCTGGCTTTGGAATGTGTTGCTGGACGCAAAGCTAGGATCTGTATGCGATACTGTATGTTTTTTTGTTACAGGGCCGCTCGAAATTAACTTCACCTCTTTTTCTTTTTCGAATCTTAAAAAAAAGGCTTGGCATGATCCACCTTCCCCCATATTAGGCTTGGTCCTGCTAGAACCAGCAAATGGAAAGAAAGCCAAGGTCAAAGGGGCACCTTAAGCTAGCCAGAAAAGGCATTGCGTCGACAAAAATAAGGTTCACAAATAACAAACGAAATAAGAGAAAGGTGAATCTGATTTCGAGCGGCCCTGTATTGAATTTGTTTCGATTTCTCATTTTCATTGAGGGTCAAAAATCTTTGGTTAAATAAAAGAATGAACTGTTTGAGTATTTCAACGTGGAGATCATGGGTCACTACAGCCAAGCACATGTCTATATTATTCATTCTCAATTGCAAGACCTCAAGACAGCCGTACTTTCATTCAAAACAGGCTTGTGTAAAATACATACATCAATGGCACGAAAGAGTTCATACCGAGATAGCGGCTTCTTTTGGATATTTCAGGTCTCCGAAATAAGTCACCAAGAGTCTGAGTCCTTGAGGCCAAACAAATCGAGTTGCATCGAGCGACCTTACGGGGAAAATCCCCAGATGCACTGTGACAGACCTAGCACACTCGGTGTGGCATCGGGCGAAGTCGGAGCATCCAATCGAGTCGGGTCGCCTCGGGGTCAGCGGTATTACGGCGGAGCAAATGCCGACGGCGGCGATGTGTTTCTGTCTTTTGGTGACAGACGATGCTTTGCTTTGCTACTCGGCGTCCAATTCTTTCGCTGAAACGCAACTTTATCCTGATGCGAGAATAGTCGGAAGGCTTCTTCCCAGGCGGAACTGGCTGGAGGGGCCGTGCGGTATGACGGGAACTGTAGGAGACTCTAGCGACCATGCTGAATTGTTTTGGCTGGTTGAGACGGTGGGTGGTGCTTCTCTGGAGAGTTCCCCGTCTGTAGATTAGAGAGTTCACTTGATGGACAAAATTTCAGAATGAGCAGCGGAACTGCAGTTAATATATATCCATAAAGAATCAACCATACTCCTCACACAACCTGGCCAGGCCACTTTTATTACTGCCATCAAATAGTAGTGAGAAACTTTATTGAGGATTTAGGCACATTGTATTGAAGAAATCTACTCTTTAACAATATCACCACCTCATTAAGGCCAACTAACGAGCAGGCAACTTCTTTAGCAGTCTAAAACCGGCGGCCGCCAAAATCACACCCGTATGCGCTGGATATTCCTCGTCAACGACAACGCGCTGCATGTATGCTAACTGCCAGTTGCTTTTCGATATATTTAGAGCCCTGTCTACTTATTTCAGTGGAATTCATCTTATTGATGGTTTTTAAACTCCAGGCATCTCTGCAGTCTACCATGTACAAGAAGAGAATATTTGGGCGAATGAAAGGATGATTATGAATTTCATTTCTTGGCCTTGGAGTGACAGTCAATTAAATAGAAAGAGTACCCAGAATCTCCTGCTTCAACAAAGCCTATGCGCATAAACAAAACTTTGCTCATCCTCCCAGAACATCATTGCAGCCGAGGCCCTGCCAAGCAGTCCTTATTCCACAAAAAGCATCTTTCGGCAGTCATCAAGATCCTCAGTGAACTTCCCTGTCGGGCCACGCACCCAGCCTTCACCTCCGATAGATCCCGCAGAGACGGAAATATTCTCCTTACAGGCGAAGAAAATATGAGAAGCCTCTAGCAATTCTTGGGAAGAGCTGGGGCTGGGGTCGAGCCAGAGAAGTGAGTCAGGAATCTCTACATCCAGAACGGGGGTGGAGACTGCTCCCATCTGGCTGAGGCCAGCATGGGGAGATGTTGACCCAGAAGGATAGTTTTGACGCGAGGAATTTCTCGATGCCGGGCTCTCCAATCGGTTGGAAAGATCGGACTTGGCCAAGGAGCGAAGGCGGTTGAGGACAGTAAACTCAAGTTTGAGCTTGATACTGTACACTACCGTTTTGAGGCTGATCTGAATAAAATGAAGTTTGTATTCGGCGATCAGAAGCAGAAGGTTGAGGGCGAGCACGAAAGTGTTGACCATGGCCAGGTGGACCATGATGCGCCGCTCCGCGCAATCACGAAGCGGCATGATCGGCTTCATGATACGTGCTGCCTTTCGAATGTAGGTCCCGCACAAAACGAGGTCTTGTATACAGAAGCCTATCAGTTGGATCCGATCGTAAATGGCAGCGGCGCGGGCAAAGTGAGGATCGCCCTGACCAATGCCAAGAAACAAAATGCTCATTGGAATATGCAAGACGGCTGCATTGATGATGATCATCCACAGGGCCCAGCGCACCTTGTATTTGTTGAAGACCACCAAATGCAGGCGCGAATAGAGCACGGTAGCTTGGCCGGTCACCATGGCGCACCAGCCTAACAGAAATGAAATCGACATGGCAAGACCAGATGCCTGGTTGACAAACCGGACCATGGCAGAAATGGAGTGCAGGACGATGCCCCACGAGGCGACCTGCATACTCCAGAAATACAGTCCACGATATTTTTCAAAAACATGGAAAGTGACAATGGCAGTTTCGAGAGCATTGTAAGCGCCGATGGAGAACATGGACACAATCTCCACGATCTCCATGTTTGCCAGCAGTATAGTGGCAGCATCGGAGGAGAGACCCGTCAGAGTGATGTCCATTTTGGCTTGAAAGTCTCGTCAAAAGAGCCGTTCAGATGAATGTATGAAGTGGAAAGGAGGCAATTGACAAACTTTTGAGGGAGAGAGGGTAAATGAGGTGTTACAGTCTCTTGGGAATAGCAGAGCACTCACTGATAAATGCAACTGAGAAGAGAACTTGAGAACACATTACTTTCTGTGCGCGGGATTGGCCGACTGCTTGGCACGATGGCTGATCTTGGTCCACAGGGAAGCCAGTGTGGAGTCAACCTCTGTTTGCTGCGCGGCTGTCAAGGACTTTTGGCCAATGACAGCAACTCACTTTATGAGCCTCAAATTTGCGCCCGTGCAGTCAACGTACTGAATTTCGATCACTCAAATTGTGTTGAACTCTCGTACCTACAATGGAACAGGGCACGTCTGACTATAATCACTGGCAATGCATCTTTCTGGGGCTGAAGTGCCCAAATCGGTGACTGGGTTGAGACCTTTCAGTAGTCACAAAAAGCTGTGCTGCTCAGTTTTCTCGTTCCACAATGCACCGAGTCAAACAGTTTTGAACAGGTTCTAATTTCGTCTGATAGCTCCCACGTCGTATGTGAATCAGGAGTGCCGGGCTTTGTGAAGAGGTGGCTGGGTTGGAGAATTGAAAGTTGTTTGCCATGGCTAAAAGCCCACAAACGTCTATCTTGGGAGAACTCTTGCTATAGGCATTTATCATCAGGTGCTTTAAAACCACCCTTCTTCTGAGTTGTGGAGAGGACATCGTCTTCTACGGAGGGACGGCTCAATAACGCAGGAGATGATCAAAAAGTTACGAGCATCAGGCAGAGAGCTTTAGTACGCAAAAGATCAATGAAAGAGCTGGTGATTCTTACAAAAAGGATATAAGTTGGTCATTCAGGTGAGAAGCAATTATCTGTGTTCGTCGGGTGGTAGAGTAGACTGTTGAGAAAAGATACAGAATGAAGGTCTTCGAAGCAATTTTCGCTCAAGCCATATCCATCCCGAGCGGATCCGTTGCGATGTGGTGGGAACTGAAAAGTTGGCCGAATGGCAACTCAGGTCGTCATTGTGTCAGCCGCGCTGCCGACGTCGGCTGTTTGTCTCATTCCGACTAGGGCGCCTGGTCGTTGACCTTGACCCTTGCCTAGCCGAACTCGGGTGACTGGACCGGGTATTCGGGATTGTTGTCGCATTTGTAGCTGAATGCGTCGTGACTATAGTTGCATCGCTAGCACATGGGCCAGGCCGAATGAAAGCATCTAGAGCCCCTTCATTGCGACTATATAGCCAAGTCAGCAAAAGTCAATCACTTCGAAGAAGTTTGTCTCACCAAACACAACAGGACGTATTGAACCCCGTGTCCCTCTTCTCCAACCACCCTTCCATGCAAGCCGGATGTGACAAGGTGCTGCACTGCACGCAACGTAGAACTACCGTCTCCCTTTTATTGTCCTTGTCTTCATCCAAACAAAAGATGGTCATCCAATCAAATGCAGGGCTCCAGGAAGAGCATGAGAATTTCTGGGAGCCCTCTCGTTCCCAGGAGCAGGCTCCTGTCCGCATGACTATCAGTAAAAACACATATAAGGACTTGTCTCCCAACAAAAGTTTTTTTATCTTTGTCACAGTACAGTAACAAATTTCTCGTTGTTGTCTTCCAATCTTATACCCTCCCTCCGTCAGACTATCCATTATGTCTCCCAATGAATCGTCCAATTTACCAGAATCGTCAAGTCATGCCCATATCTGTGATGTCTTCAGTGAAGAAAATATTTCCCGAGTCAGATTGCGAATAAACACGAACCAGGAGTTGCTATGGATCGATCCTAAGTTGGGTGCAACTCTTTATCTTTGGCATACTGCAGCCATCTCTTTCTGGCATGAGGTCTTGACCGACGTTCAATATGCCAAACAGGTATGATGTTAAATCTCGAAGTTACTGATCCTTAAAGCTAACTTTCTAAAGTTTCACGAGGAGTCAAGGGTTTCATACTACCGTCAAAGCGATGACAGGACATTTAATTTGGAAGTGATGGAGCACGACATGATTTCCTTCTTTGCTTCGCTGGACGTCTGTCTCATTGCTCCCTGGGGCTCTTTCTATCCCTTAAGAGCCTCTCAAAATGATCTGATGGGGCAGCTTCAACCACTAGGTTGGAGTTTGGATATTGCAGCTGACGCTCTCGTGCGTGATATCGGCAGACTCTGGGAAGTTCAATTGAAGAGAGCTCACTCCTGTCATCCTCACATCCGTGGGGGTTTGGTGTGTCAATTCTGGGTGGGTCCACAAGCAAGAAATGTTGGGGAAGCATTGGACAAGCCTCAATCAATTGCAGAACTGTCTAATGAATCGCTCTATGATTGATTCACTTGTTCCATATTTTGCGGGTAATTGCGGTCCACATCCGGCCTTGAGCTTCTAGTAATAAGCAGCCAAGCGCTGGCCAAAAGTTCAATGCACGTGCCCTATATTTCTTGAATCAAACTCTAAACAACCGCATAGCCAGCCATGACACAAACTAAAGTTGATTCACCACGCACATTAGCCAAGCAGAGCAAACTCCGCTAGAGGCCTCCACAATCCTCGAGGCAGGCTCATAGCGTTCAGAACCTCCGTAGTACATGTAAGAGCATGGCATACACTTGGCGGGGCTGATTGAGCGTTTTTACCGATTCAAATTCAACCTGCGGCTCTGGCCTCATCGTCGTTAATTTCTTTTTGTCTTGACGGCTCTATTGTAATTTGGTCTCAAGTATAATTTCACTCGGTCCTCTGAGCCCGCCTATGACTGTATGGCCAATAATAATTGAGATGACAGCAATTGGAATTATGGGACTTTGTAGCTATCTCAGCAATCTTGCTGCCTCAGCAAAGCAAACTAACCCAGACTGCCAGAGAGGTGCACTATTGGATGCCCCGTTTTATTCGGTCGCTCACCATGCCCCTTTTGTTCTATTGCTTGGTTTATCTTGTTATATTGAGTGCTCATGAAAGTGATGTGTAGTAGCACTCATAGCCGCGCGGTCCTCTTTGGTAAAAGATTCCTTGTTTGTAGCCCCGTTAGGCTGATGATCACTAGATTTGTGTAGGACATCCAGGCCTGTAGCAGTAGGAGATACATGTACGCAAGATCCTGCGAATTACGATTCAAATCATCGTATGTCCAACCCCTGATCCCACCGAGACCATCCCAAAATGTCCCATGTCCGGCCCTCATGAAAAGTAATTATCACTAGGCGGTGACTGAGATTAGGAAGTATATGAGTTGGATCCTGTCCTAAATTTGCATTCAACAATTCACGAAAATTGAGGGGGGTGAAAGCCTGTCATACACATACATCTCTGGTGGACTCTGAAAAGCTGTTGTTCCAATCCGAATTCGCTTTCTACGACTGGTTCTTTGCTGGCCGAACCAACATCAATTTTATTGAGGTCGGTCCCAACAAATTGATGAGGACGAGGGAGTTGCTCCAGCTCGTTGGGTATCGTTCCCCCTTGAGCAGGAAATGAATTTCTTTGCCTGGTAAGTTTCACCGGCGAGATATTTACAAGACCATTGCATGTTGATGTCCAATGCGATGAGTCCTCTTTTTGACTCTTCAGGATGCGTTTGCTGGCTTTATTTCATGCGCACTAGATATATAGTCATCGAGGCTTTTTAATTCATTGATAAAATATCTCAGCCCCCCGTAGTTTTCAAAATCCCATCACGCTTTCAAGGGCATTGTATGCGTCGACGAAGAACATGGATACAATGTCCACAATTTCCACGTTTGCCAACAGTATTGCGGCAGCTTCGAGGGGGAGACCTGTCAGAGTGTTATCCACCGCGGCTTTGAAGTGTCATCAAGTGAGCCGGTCAGTATAGTAAGGTGTTGAAAAGTGGGGGCACTTGAGAAAACTTCGCAGTGATGGAGGGGAAATGAGGTGTTACTGTACTATCTCTTGATAGCAGCAAGATATTAACTGGTAAATGTGACTGAGAAGGACACTTAAGAGCATATTATTATCTGTGCGTATGATTGACCGACTTCTTGGCACGCAGGGTGAGCTTGGTCCACAGTATAGCCATCCTTACGTCAAGCATTGTTTGCTGCCCGGCTCTCAAGGGCGTTTGACCAACGACAAGCTTTTAAAAACAGAATCCCCTCTATGGGGCTCATATTTGCGCCCCGTGCAGTCAGCTTACCTATTTGTGATCACCCAGATAATATTGGAACTCCCATGCCCACAATAAATGGAAAATATTTGCCCGGATTCACTGGCAATAAGTCTTTCTGGAGCCGAAACGCTTAAACCAAATCCCTGGTTGAGATGTTTCAACGGCGATAAAATCTTTTGCAATCCATTTCTCCCTAAGTGATACGCCCAACAAAACTTGTTCCATCAGTTTATTATCTCGTCGGATAGCTGGCCCCGGATTGGGAGAGTGGAATCGTTTGCCATGGCTAGAAGCCTCCTCTTGTCTATTTTGTGAAATCATTGCTCAGGAGTATCACCAAGAACTCAAAATCAAACATTCTCCTGAGATCTGGGGGGACAAAACATGATCTTCTTCGGCGAAACTATTCAATAGCAGAGGCGCCGATCGGAAAGTTACGACTTTCAGACGAGGATATTCCTCTCGAGGTCCTTCCCGAGTCAACCAATTTGACCTCCATCAAACAGCGTTCCAGCGTAAGGTTGAACGACGGCTAGGCGGAATACCCAAAAATTATGCTGATGGCCTATCAAAAATGGGCACAGAAGGCAGAAAAGTTCTATAAAAGAGTGAAAGGTAATTCCTCGTCAACAGGAAGAACAGAATATGGTTATTTGTGATATTAAAAGCAGCTATCAGTGTGTGCGAGCCCTTACAGGGGACTCATGGAAGAAAGAGACACAATGGAGAGCTCGCACATTCAAATCCATGTGTCTCGTTTGAATCCTTTGCGATCTCACTGCAAAGTGGAAATCCCTCCCGCCAAAGGAAATCGACCATCATTAGCTCCCAACTCTTCCAGCTTACTCAGGACCCTCTTATACTCTCGATACAAGCCCCATGAATATTCACGCAGAACATGAAGCTCACTAGCAAGTTTTTGTCGATGATTTTCCAAGATTGAGACATGGTCCTCGACTTGCTCAATCAGAAAGGAGAAGTCACGCTTCCTTTGCTCGTGCACGCCGCATATCAACGCTACATCAAATTAGCTAGGAAGAATATATAGCGCATAGAAGACTCACGGTGACTTTGGGACGAGGGTGCAAATCTAGTAAATGATTTGTCTGCCATGGCTGCCATTGGGAATTCACTCTGAGGAACACCTCTCGTCGTAGTGCAAGGTTTTAATTCGATTAAGAGGGGGGTATCGTGTATTTGTAGCCAGAATGTGAAGCCGAAGACAATGGTGGTATAAGAAAACGCCTTCGTCCGTTCCTATGATCTAGCAGTGCCATCCCAAAAGCTGCAGCGGCCATTCCCAAAACAATTTTCTTATATCAAATTGCGAGGTGGCAAAAAAATGATGTGTTCCCTGTGATTTTGCTGTTCTACATAATACATCTTTCAAGCCGAGCAGAGCACTACAGTATTATTAGTGTCTCTCGTATTGAGTTTTCTCCAGACAATTCATTGTGAACCAGTTACCGTCACTCGTCCGTCTACTACAAGTTACATAGTTGCATATCGCCAGCCCTCAATTAGGCACGTCGAATTCGCGAAGTGGCACGATGCGCTCGATTACTTGCGATCCAGACGTGTTCACTGTCGGAAGTGGATCGTTTCTTGGCCGACGGCCGACTTGACATCATTTCTCAGAATAAACTCTTGAGTATACATACCTCCTTGCCGGATCTCATGATAGCAATGTGTTCCTTGTGAAGAGTTTGCCTCAAATCAGCGTGCGGCTTGACAAGAAACAAGAAGGAGGAAAGTACGTTGGGAGTCGCCCACAACTGTACCACCGGCACGGCATCCAGGTGATACTCAACAGAGGAGTGGCAAGCCAACGACCCGATCAACTGATAGTGTGGTGACTTCAATATAGGCTTTCGACACATATAACAGTACGCTTGATTACCATGGTGTATCTAATTGCGGTATCGTGATTTGTGATTCTCGCCACAGTTGGATTTCTATCAAGCGGCCGGAAGCAAAATAACAATTCAATAGTTTCATCCATAGGCCAACGCATGCATCGGGGAAATTTGGGTGCAGTCTTCTAGGCTGGAACAAACCCAAAGGCAGATTCTACATTTCCATAGGCTAAAATCCCGGAAAGGCATGTAACAGTAAGTATCATGCATCGTTGGTGCGATTCTCAGTTGCATTATCTTGATTTATCTACTACAGCGCTCCAACTCAAAAGGTTAACCGACCGATCCAATACGCTTGCAGCACGAGGCAGCCGGGATAGCTGAGCCTCGACTGCTACAGGTCGGATTGCAGGACCCTGTCATTCAGTACTCTGGTAATACAGCATCTGTTATTCATCAATTCATCATCAGACCCATTCCTACGGTTTAAGCTAACACATTTCATCAAGCTTGGCTGTTCTCCAATCTTGGAGACCGTCGAAGCGGAGTGGCGCTGACGCTGCGCGCTAGTCTCGCTGATCGCCGAGGCTCAACGTGATGTGCTAGTGCGTGGGCCGACCTATTCTCGGTTGGTAGAGATCCTCCTAGCTGCGAATCATGCGTCCTGTCTCCAATCTTGTCGATCGTCGGGGCGGAGCTATGCTTCTGGCATCCCGCGTCAGCCGTGCCGACCGACGAGGTTGTTCGCGCCGTGCTGGTGCGCGGGGTGACCGAGTAATGCGGCCCTGGGAAGTCGTACTATCCTCGGTGGGCAAGGTATCTTCTAGCTGCAAATTATGCCCCGTACCTATGTTTCGGTCTACCATTAACGCGCTGGCGGAGGCAGTCCGACGCCTAATGGGACGGATGAGGGCATCTAGAGCACCATTACTGCGGCTGCTGATTGTCAGAATTCTCCCTCGATGACACTGAAGCGATTGAACTTACCAAACACAGCAAGAGGTGTCAAAGCCTGTGTCGCGCTGTCCTAGCCAGAGTTCCATGCAGGACAGGTGCGATAGCGCGTGGCATTGTTGACATCGGAGAATCACATTTTCATCGGTCGTGTCTCCATCTTCCGCCAGGCAAAAGGTACAATGGATGCCGTTCACATTATGGCTCACAGCGAGACGGTGTAATTCCAGGTCTTGAGTTCCTGCGGAAATATTCGCGACGGACGCAATAGCGGGCTGTGCCGGCGAGACAACCCACGGCACATTGTTTGCACGCAGCATCGCGGGGGATACATAAGGCTGGATTGCTTGCGGGAGCTCGCGCTCAGTCTCACTCGTATCATATGAGACACCACGGTCCAACTGATGGGTTGCAGGTTGGCGCAGGTCACTTTCCTCGTGGCTTAGCGTGGTCGCGTGTTCCAGCACAACGTTGCTGCCGAGCTGATTACGAACAGCGGCATCATACCAGTGTCGACTAACCTGGTCAGCTTGCCGATCTCGATGCCATCTGGAGCACAGGAAATGAATTGCGATGTTGTGCAAAATCGGCTGCAGGGTCTGCGCATGAAAAGGTGCTCGAGCCAGGCTTCTCAGCTTCTCCTCTCCCTGCTTGAGCATCTTCGCAGAGATCCTATTCTTACAGCGAGCACCTTGCTCTGTGATGCCGCAGCAGGTAGCCTGGTGGGCCAGATCCTCACCAATCTCAAAAACGCTGACTGGGTTCCAAAAGGTAGACATGGCGAAAAGACTAAATGTAATGTAGATCGACAATCAAAGATGAGACAGGTAGTAGGCATAGAATTTATCACTGGGCTCTCTGAGTGCCTTCTAGCTTTTTATAATTCCTCCGGCTCCTGCCTAGTGTGGAATGTACGCTAGAGGGTAAGTCAGGAGCGGGGCCTTTGCATGGTCCAACTTGCTCTAATAGACTACCTGCAGGCATTCCAGTCCATCGAGGCAGCGGATTGCACCAACTAGCCTACACATTAGACGCAAAGAGATTGGCCCGCTGTGAGAAGCCTTTGTTGAAAATGCGAGGAATCCATGGCGTTCCGCACAAACGCAGGGCTCCAGGAAGATTATTGAGATTCCTGGGAGCACAAGAGTTCCTGGGAACAGCCTCTCTGTTCCACAGGCCTCATTTTCCGTGATTCTACCCCAACCGAATTCCATCTAGCTCAAATGTAAAGTAGAGGATCAGCCAGAAGAATGAAATGCTTATCATAGTGGCTTCTATAAATACTGACCTGCAAGGTCGAGTATTGCTCCTCCATCCATAAGTCTGTTCGGCGCCACTATCATTTCATCCGAAACAGCCTCTCACTATATGTCGGAGATGTCGCACCACCTCTATACCATCGGTTGGTCATCTTATTCCAGTGTCAGTGCGGGTGCTGACTACCCACTCTAGCAGGCTCTTCGCCGTCAGAGCGTCCCGCTGCTCATTGCTGCAGACGGTCTATTCAGAATGCACTGTTCTTTGCAATTGCTCGGGGAGATGTGCAAGCCGTGATTCAACTCCTTCAGCACGGCATCGATGTCAATAGCAGCGGACCGAATGGCCAGCCCACGCTCTTCACGGCTCTAGAGTATCAACAGCACAAGATCTTGGAGATCCTCTTGGGTGACCCGCGAGTCGATATTCACATCACAGATGGCCAAGGTCACACTGCGCTCCATCTGGCGGTGATATACGACGATCATCTTGCAGTTCAGATCCTCTTGCAAAGCAGATCTCTCGATGTCGATCGGTCCAACTTTGCAGGGGACAGCGCACTGCTTCTCGCTGCCAAGACGTACGTACGGTGGCTTCGAGCCCAGACGCGACGCGATCCTTGAGCTGTTGGTTTCTCACCCACAATCGATGGTGAGCCAGCGCGACACCAAAGGCTGCTCCCTCCTGCAGTATGCAACGTTCACGTCGAACCGGATGCTGATCGCGCAATTGGCGTGAAGCTGTCTTGATTGAAGGCCCTGGAAGCCTTGGGTCTTTCCCCTTAGGTCAGAACACGAAAGCCGGGCTGCAGAGGGACGGCATGAAGCGACCGTGCCACGGGTACCCACAGAGCCGGAATTAGTTGAAATATGACTAGACTAGAAGGCCATGGTGCTATATTGAAAGGCCAATTCCCTCGGCTGTTTGAGATTATTGGGAAGATGCCGGGCGCGACGTGTCCCACGGCCATGCGCGGGCCGACCGCAGAGTGACGGAGTCTCCACGTGGCCCGCCTTTCACCAACCCGACCAACCTTATGATTACCAGACTACGTGACAGCGGGATATCTATACCCAAGTGCCTCAAAGGCTCTGTAAGATCTGCAGTCGCGATCAAATTCGGAGATCGAGGTTTGTCATTTGCTAGAAATCGTGACATGTTATTCCAATATGATTGCTTAAAGTCTGAGATATATATTTCGTATGGCTTAATGTTGAGGAATTTTATAACCCAATAAACAGGGCAGAACTGTGTTTATTAGGCAAATGAGTTGAACGAGGATGAATATTCGTACTTTCTAATTAGAATTTCGATGTAAACAGACTATATACAAGTATTAGAATAATATATTTCCAGGTCTAGGATTTGGAAAATCCGACAGGGGGTTCAACTGAGGTTGCTAAGTTGAACCCCAAAAAGCCACTATGATTGGTCAGTCGCCATCCGGAAGTGATTGCTACCGCCTTCTTAAAGCAAGCCAATCAACAAAGCCTGGCCCGCCAACTGCTACCGTCAGGGCTGGTCGTTAGACCAGGGTAGCTGGCCCTCACATCGTCACCTGAAACGAATGTACGCATTCGCCACTCTCATCCAGGGCTGTCACCTCGCCTGTCACGTCTCACTGAATATTCTTAGATCCCGATACCAAAGACTCGACCAGCTCGACCTTCAATTGTGTACGATGCCAAATTTCCTCTAGATCCACGCGGAAGATGGCCCTGAAGCTGTTGGAATATCCTATTCCTGCATCCAAATGTGTTCCGCCCTGTCCTCCTCCACCTTTGATGCGTCCAAGGCTGCCCAAAGAGCCAATGTAGCCCGGCATAAGCGTGCATTGATCGGGGCGAATTGGTCGGAATGGAAGTGTTCTTCCAATACAAGCTTTTGTGTGATGTCAACCACGGCTGTCGCTAGATGGCAGAAATTCACGCAACAGGTGCAGTAGAACTTATTCTCCTGAGCTTGCTGATCGCGCTGGATCCGCTTCTCAGTGATTGGGTCTGGCGGGGGTCCCACGCTCTTTGCTGTACTGAGGTGTGTCTTTGTCGTCTCTAATGCCATGGTCGTTCTCCCCGCTACAAAGATCCGATGGTCTAGTGGTGTAATCTCGGGAAGATCGTCCCAGACGGGGACAGGCATAGCCCTTGAGGAGTGTGGTCTTGGTGTATCTGGCGAGCGACTGTATACACTCGATGCATTAGACGGAGGGCGGGCCATTAGTGAAGCTAGAACAGAGGCTCCTATCCGGCGCTTTGGGATCTTGATTCGCGGCCGATCACGCTCATATCACGCTCAAATAGCAGAGAACAATGGAGCCTTGTGACAGCCAGTGCTACGGTATTATACTCAAGTACTGTGTCCTTGAACCGGGAAAATCTGTGATTGAGCGGACCGCACTTTCCAGTGGACTGTTGGCTAACGTTCGTGCTCGCTGAGCTGAGCTACCTAGCTCTTTCTGAGTCATCTGAACCGAGGATGGGAAATATGGTAGTCTCGCAAAATATTATTTTTTCTAAAATTTTCTAGTTCTCCCCCACTCAGTCTTGGCAAAGCTAGACCGATGATCAGCCTAACTTTCGTATTGTCTGCCGCACGAACGCACTGCGTAACAGATTAATCGACCGAACATGTTTATATAGTATTGCTAAGCGGAAAGCGCAGTAACCGTACGCATCTTTCTATTTCAGATCGATCTGCGGGTGTCGTAACAGCCGTTCAACACATGCAGCATACCCGCTTGCAGCAGCAAACATGAGGGCCGTGAAGCCCAAGGGCCCAACCTCATTCAGTGCGATTTCACCTTGCGAGAGAAGAAGAGACACAATACCCAAGTGTTGATTGATCACGGCCACATGCAGGGGTGACGTTCCAGACGGGGCTTTCTCGTTGATCTGAATAGCTTTCTGGGTCAGCAACCTCTGAGCCGTGGCGAGCGAACCCGCCCGACACGCTGCCCATAACGGTGGAACAGCCGGACCAGGCATGGCATTGATACATATCTTCGGCTGTCTCAGAAGCATCTGCAGTAAACGAGGGCTTTGATGCTCCGCTGCTCGCGCAAGAGGGGTAACAGCCCCGCCGTCCGCATCATTCAAACGGAGGCCATCCTGGTCCAAGAGCAGCTGCACTAGCTCCTCATTCTGCTGGTCCACCGCGTGCCACAGCGCCGTGCGCCCCTAGAATCCTGGTGATTGATGTCAAGCTTTGGGTTGAGCAGTAGGGCTTCCACTACCCGTCGGGGCGACCTCCCTTTGAGGGTCTTGACCGCGAGAAGTAGTGCCGTATTTCGGTGGGTGCCGCACCAATTGACATCCAAGCGAGGGTCTCGGGCTAGGATCTGCACTGAGATATGGTCTTCTTTTCGAACTGCGGAATGTAGCGCATTCTGCCCAAGGCGATCTTCGATGCTGACATTCACGCGGGGATCGGTCAGAAGATGGCTTAGAATGGCGTGCTCCGAGTATTCCACTGCGTACATCAAAGCGGACATGCCATCGGTGCATCGGCCATTGACATCCAGCGCTGGGTACTGCAACAGGGTTTCAACGATGGCAAAAGTGCCCTTTGCGACAGCGATTGACAACGGCCCTCGACCTTGAAAGTCGCAAATAGACAGCCGTGGGTGATGTTCCAACATGAGATTAACTGCTTGTGGGTAGCTCATCTCAATGGCGAGCAGAAGCGTGCTCGTCCCACGGTACTCGGAGTTGGGGCTTGCGTGGTAATGAGTCAACAAAAGGCGCGCAACGTCTAGTCGTCTTGCGAGTATGGCTCGATGAAGGGGTGGCATTTCATCGTAGTGAAGGCAATCAAATAGAGCTTCTGTGCAGATTGCTGCCATTCTCCAGCAGCAAGCCATCAAGCAAACGATGTCGGTTTTACCAAGGATCTTGCAGATCCAGAGTAAGAGTTCATTTGGGAGTTTGTCTAGCATCTTTCCTGTGTAGTATTAAAGCTGATGCAGTTTGGTAGGAAGGGAGGCGAAGCTTTATAACACGCGCTCAAATACACCAATCAAGAACATACTCTACCAAGTCTGACCGAGCCCAGGGCTTCGCGTATGGCAAAATAGACTTTGCCAGGCTGGGAAAGGTTGATGCTAATCCTGGGAGCCCATTTGTCTCTGGGAACCCGTGTGCCATTCCTGGAGACACTGATACTGATCCTGGGAACGGCCATGGCCTCCCCAGAAACCGTGAAGACGATCCCGGATCTGAGTTACCGAAATTCAGCGCCAAAATTTTTCTTCCTCTTTCACTCGGAAACCGTAGATATACATCCTACCCAGGCAGGATCGTGTGTGCTATACGCAACGTACATAAGTAATACAGACTGCCTCCCCCAGCCGACACATTTGTCCGCCATGCATAAAAAATGACATCGGAAGACCATGTCCAGTCGATCCTGATATCCGCTCTCTCTCTAACTAGTATCATGAGGCTGTCTCTGATAGTTCGTTTCCAACAGCCTTGGCATTTCTACCACCTCGACATTACTTTATCGGCTGCGTCTAGTATTTCCTTCGTTCTACTTTCCGGTCTTCGCTGGGGCGAAATCTATGCAGTCTGGTGTCGCACACTGTTGTGGATGACATCGGCTTTTCTTACCGGACAAGTGGTATGTCTAGAAGTTACCATTCTGGCGCAATCAGCTGACTCTTCAGTTTCTTCGGGTCCATTTCCAACAATGCGAGAACCCGTTCATTCCGGCTGTCTTACTTAGAACATATGCATCATACGCCGTGGTCTCCAGCCTGGCAAAGATAGCAAGTCCTATCGTTGGAGTCTTTTGCCCGACCGCATCTCACCCGGTGTGTCTGTTCGTTCTCGCCGTTGACTACTTGATGGTGACGATCTGGTATCTGTGGCTTCTTGGTCAGGCAACTCAAGCCCGAACTCGCCTTCGAATTATTTCTTTCTGCGTGTCAGCCTTGTTTGCGATCCTACTGGCAGTTGCAGCGCTAGGCACGTTATGGAAGACTTGGGACATTGCGCTCGAGGTAATTATGTCTTTCCGCGAAATACGTCCAGCTGCTGACTGTTTTAGATACAAATGATACTGATCCTTACCTGGACCTTGTCAGCCCAGCTCATTGAAGCAAGGTAGACTGCCATGCGTCTTCCGCTCACGGATCAAACAGCATGGAAGAATTCTCCCTTGTAGTACATACTGTGTGATCAATGATATTTGGTGCAACAAGATGTAAGCCTCTTGGTAAATGCTTCTTGATAGTGACGTCGTAGTGGCTTTTCAAATTTCTCGAGCGTGAATCTGGATTATTACTCGCGCCTTTTCGAACGGTGGTCCCCAGTGGTGTTCAACAGTCTGTCGTAAAGTCGTCCGGTAGATCCTTCCGCATCCCAAGTGAAATGGGATGGCAACGGATTGAACTTGTGGGATACGTTTATTGGTTTGATCAGACCCACCCTTAAAACTATGATGCATGTACTCAATGCCCATATTTGATTCATTTTCCAAGCGCCCTCGAGCCGGGGGGCGGGGTCCCCCAGAGACTCCCTTTACGGGGGTCGACGAGGCAATTTCCAATTGCCGGGGGTGCCCCCCAAGGCGACGGGCAAGATTCGCCGGTCATTCTCGATTTGTCCTCATCTCTCATGCTCCTACGCGGAGGATCTATTGCGCGTCAACCAGTTACATTGGCGCACTGTTCGTCAGCCTCCTACTCATCAAGGCACCTGAAGCCAAGTCGCATATCACCTTTTCAGCCTGTCCTGTAGCCATCCTCATTGTTCTGCCCGAGCGATTGAGTTCAATATATGGGAAGTTGGAGACTGAGCCTAAGCATTCTATCATCCTGAAGATGCCCTAGGACCTAGTCTCTATCCCCGGTTCCGTCGTCTTCTTGTACCCGACTATTCGAAGGGATGTCGGGGCTCCACTCTAACTTCTCGGTACGATATCAAAGACTTGTGACGTGTAGACGCCGGTATCGATCCTAGGCGTGTGCAAGCAGATGATCGAGGAAGGGCCTTAGTCTTCCGCTCGCTGACCCATCGCTGTCAAGGTCGCATCATCCCCAGGATTTGAACATTGATAACCAAGAATCTTTCAGAGGCACAAGAGGAAATTGCGTTGCTGATTCCGAAGTGGAGCATTCATTGTTGAGAGCTTGATAGGTGATGTGAAGTGTCTGAATTAACTTGGCTGCATGGCTGAGGCCAAAGGCGACTGTTATTTAATTACCAACCACCAGTATGGGAAGGGGAGTGGTCGACAAATCCGAAGCTGAAGCGCGAATGCTCTTGAATTCTATGGGCTGCACAAATTGATGATGGCTGGATACTAGATGTAATGGTATGCAGAGGTATGACGGGACCGCGGGAATGTGGGCGTCTTGCCCGTCGCCTATGGGGGGCACCCCCGGCAATTGGAAATTGCCTCGTCGACCCCCATAAAGGGGGTCTGGGGGACCCCCCCCCCGGCTCGAGGGCGCTTGGAAAATGAATCAAATACGGGCATGGGCGATGAACATCCTCCTAATGGGCGAGGTCGATTTTTCTGGAAAAGTGATGTATCTGGAAAAGTGATGTAATACCAAGTCATCAGCAGTTGTGCACACGTTGCGCAGGCATCCCCCGCCCGTCGTGAAAAGAGCGTGTATTGCGACAGTTAGACGAAATATCGCATTCCAGAAGGCCGAATTCAGATATCCAGGCGTCAAAAGCGGTGGTCGGTAGGGGCAGAATGGCCGGGCAACGCGTGAACGCGTGGTGCATATTTACCACCCGCAACCTCAGCTAGCTGTTAGCACCACCGTAAAGCCACGAAGAGGCCTTATCGAGGTCCAGCGGACATTTGGGCTGATCAAGATATTCCGCATCTGGACTAGTGTTTTACAGCTTCTGCCTTTCACTTGCCCTCGCCGTGTAAGCGCCTTCTATGAAGAATTGAATGTGCTACGGGCACATACCACGAGCACCTTTGAACTGAATTGACAACTTACTGAATTGATTTTTCCCCAAGGAGTAAGCACACGGTGAGTTGATTCCAGCTCGGAAAGTCGACTTGCATAAGCCGATTTTCGCCAAAGGACAATCTCCAAAGTCACGGCATACTCCGGTCGCACAGCCTCATTTGACGGATTGATAGCATCACGCCATACAGAGTGGATCACATGGTTATGAGACCCATGGAGTCCGTTCCTAGTAGGTTTATTGTGTTGCTCAACCTTTTTCGAATGGCTGAGTCGCTTGGAGAAAGGATTGGGCCGACAGGATAGGGCTGCTGGCCTGACTTGCTCGCCAGAGCGAGTGCATGTAACCAGACTGAGATGGCTGAGACGACAGCACCACATTTGACACGTCTCTTTCGGTGGCAACGGCTTCGAGGATTCCATGCACCTCCTCTCGACATACAAGGCGGTGTTTCGGATCCGGGCTCAGTCAGCATTGATTATTTGGTATCCACAGTCAAGACGAAAGGGAAAAATGAGAACTTTTCAATACTAATGACCATCGCAGCGATGTCTTGCCGCTCTGTGGTGGTTCTAGATGCTTCACCATATGGCAACTGTGAGACAGCATCATGTCTGCCCATTGCATTTGCCCAATAGATGATATTCTCATTCGAAGTCATATATGCCTATATGCCCTTGGTCCCTGATCGTGGGCTGGTATTTGCGTCTTGGTCGCTGGCAATCACTGCTTGTGTTTCGATATTTGATCCTCTGAGACACTCACTGGCAGCTTACCATGGGTGAGTTGAAAAGACAACTTAGGCTTTCCTGGCTGTCTAGAGTAGTGAGGCTATTAGCTCGGCATTTGATGTCAGTCTGTATACAATTCCCACGTCCACCACTCCGTCGATCACCGAGATTTCGAAGGAATCAAACGGGTGGTTTTGAGAGGGAGAATTGATCTTGGATAAAAGAAAGGACCGGAAATCGACCAGGGGCTTCGAGTTGAAGCGGAGGGCACAAGATCAAATTTTTTCGATCATTGTTGAGAGCCTCGATGTTTGTGGTGCTTCGGTCAGTCTCGCACATCTGCTTTTGTCCTCTTGCTGGATTGGGAAACACTTGAGTCGTATCGTTGAGGTGATTGAGTCATCCGTTCTTGAGCTAGCGAAATAACCGCGGTGAGCCTCCGACGTGCTTTAGGTGTACCGATGAATAGAGCAATACATGCCGACTTTCGATGACACTTCCCCCATCGAGCTGTATCCCGTCGCGACAAATAGGCTGCCTTCCGTCAAATAAACCCTTGTTCCCGGCGCTTGAGGCTAGCCTTGTCGGCTTGAGTGATCTTGATCAGAAACCAGACGGCGAAAGGTGGCGTTGTACGGAAGATCTAGTGTTCGATGATGGCAAATAGACCGAAAGATGTTCCATTTTAACCTTAGGAAAGGGCAGGCGATTTCCCCAATAACCTCTTGTTGTGACATAACATGCACTGAGAGCCGTCTGGCCACAAGGACATCTCGCAAACACGCCAGAATGGGACTAAATATCTGGCAATAGGTCCCTCTGTAGACCCGCCTGGGAAAATCATGCATCCCTCATAGTAGAATCACCCGCCATGAGTAGAAAAGCGACTTTCTTGCCTGGCCTCTCCTCCGACCGATATTTGCCGCAGTGAAACCACCACCGAGGTCATTTTGGAGCATAGTAAACAAATAATAGCTGACTGATACAGGTACTCAGCATGGTCAGACAGCACCCGTTAGAGAAGTCTCTAGTGTCAAACCCGTGACTTCAAGCTTTGAGGTCGCGTTCGATACCATTCATGGAAGCAACTTCAGAATATCCCACTAGAGCCCACCCGGCAGCGTTCGTGCCAACTATTATGATTCGCGGTAGTGGACGTGTATCTGGTAGAGCCCAATCCCTCTTGTTTCTCGACGATGAGCGAGTAGCTTCATTCAAATACCACACCACCAAAGCCCTATCAGGGCGAAGCTGTGATTGGGAGCTACTCCGATTCAAGTCGGACAAGTTGGCCTTTACCTTCGGGGACGCGGTGAACGCCCACAAGACTCTGCTGCCGTAATATGCCCCTGTCATGTATGGAAGCCCTCTCATGAAGTCAAATTTTCGGTTGACCTTGCTGCTAATCCCACTGTTGAACGTCGCATCCCTGTCAACGCAGCGCTCACAAGACTGGTTGCAAGTCTGATTGCATAATTAGCTTGAACTGGGTAAAGACCCAAGTTGCCCTCCCTAGAGCACTGCTCGGACCATTGGAGCTCCCGCTGGCCTCCTTTCTATTTGTCTGACACGGTTTCCCGCTCACGAACATTGAGATTGTCAAGAGCGTGAGCTGGTGTAGCCCCAGCGAGAAGAGAATATAAAGAAGGATTAGCCGTTTGGAAAAGGCAAATGAGAACGATCCAATCGTTGTGGAAATTCAACGCTCGTGCATCGATGCTCACTTGTGAGATGCACTCATCGCGAAGAAGCCCAGCGGAGAAGTGTTTGGGAAATGACGTCACGCGAAGTTAGCTGCGGCAAGTAGTCAGCGGCGCGTCGGACCATTCAAGAACAGCGACCCAAGTCTGCTTCCGTCGATGTATGCCTTCTTGAACATTCACAAGGCACTGGAAAGCTTGGCACTGTCTTTCTGTTTGAAGTTGCTTCATAAGTCGCCCCATCAGAAAACCCACGCAGCCACACAGCCACACGATATCGTGATTTGATGCTGGTGCTGGAACGGAGCCACATCATTGGAATTGGCTCCTCAGATCTCTATATTGAGAGTCAAGTTTCAACCAGCTTTATCCTCTCGCACTATGCATTATCGAGTATCACCCCTTCAAACCGACGATCAATTATACCGCAGACGCATCATAAGTGGCCATGCCGACAGCGAGATGGCCACCACAGGCATATCAGTGGTACTTTTCAATAGCTCTGCCTCTAGATAAATGTCACGCCCGCTTTGAACAGCCTTGGCTCACAGCATGCCAAGGAAATGTCTCTTCAGCCTCTTCACCGATGACCAAGGCGGAAGACGCTGATGCAAAGTGGCCTTGTCTAATGAAAATAGAGATCCACCATGGGAATGCATAATGCGGATCCAACAGCAGGTCATGTCATAAACTGTTCATTTCGCGTAGGTGTTGACTTGGGTGAGGTGAGACAGGGAGCCACACTAGCCGTCCACTATTACCTCCAGAGCCTGACTGCAGCAGGCCTCGCGTCTAATGCCGCTCAACACCAAGCTGTTGATTAGAGATGACGGCATCTTTCGATCGACGTGAGAGATCTGCTGGAACGATAGTTAGCCACACGAATATAAATATAGGCGGGGCGGATGCGATAAAAAGCCACCTGTTGGGTATTGTGGGTAATGCGCTTCTTATAATAGATTCGTAATGTGATTAGGAGCAAGTATTCAGAGCAGGCGTCGAAGGGTATGTTAAGCTGATACACGCATGGAGTGGGTGTGTGGGGAGCGCGTGGGTAACCAGTCGCACTATAGGCAGTATTAGCACCCAGAGAGGAGGAATAAGGATAGGTTAGCATGGGCGGGAACACTCTTGTCAATTGCCGAAAGTAGTTAATATATATGAAAACAGGCGGCAGTGCAACCCTTGCTAGCCAAGAAGTCGTTCAGCATGGCGGCATAATTAGACGCAGTCCTCGGAGCTCCGAAATGACCGATAATTCGTAGCTTGAGATATGAAGGTTAGTTTTCGTGGCTGCGGGGTCTATGCCCATTGAGTGTACGAAGCTCGCTCTTGTTAGTTGAACGCTCTCCCAATATACATAAAAAAATGATGGGTTAGAGCTCACACTAAGTTTGCTTGGCGAAACTGGCCAACCCATTTCGTGCTGAAGCTAGCAAGGTTGACGAGGGGCTAGTTCCATCATTCAATAACATGGAGCACGATTAGATCAGCAAGGGGTGATTGCAGACAGATGAATGGTTATTCGTCCTGGGAAAGCTGGATCAGATGGAGTGTGGGCGGACGACGTTGAAATCATCAATATAGCCTTACAGTGGCCCTGGGTTTTCGTTTCATTTTAGTGGCACGCGCCATGTATTGCGTACACACTGGCTTACTGCCGGTGTATCGACAGGCTCTGTGAAGGATCAATGATCTGTCATTAGCGAATTGTTTGAGAAGTGCCATCGCTCACCCACGTTTGATACCTTGCAGGTCTGAGCTACCTAAGCGTGGATTAATATAGAGAAAGCAGCGCAGAGAGCGGGTTGGAAAAGACCGACATCCGCCGATATGAGATACGTACCTGATGGCATCACATCCTCGTCGCTGATGTTGTTGACGAGCTATTTCCTCTTTATAGCCTCTTTTGGTCTTGCAAACGAAGTCGCAAGGCTACAGACGCCTCAATATAGAGTGCGTCTCTTGTATTCGAGGTGAAATCGGCATTGGTCTTCGTTGCATGATGGGTGCTCTGTCCGACGACTGGTCCCTTGCTACCGAGTCAAAGATCGAGAGGGTAGGAAGCTCCATGAGCTATCCGGCCTCTGTGATAGCCCACACCGGGACCTGTGGAGGGGGTCGTGAAGATCTCTGCCACAGAAAGGAAGTCAGCTCTATGTACATAGACTCAATCAAGGATCAAGGGATACGGATCACGCTCAGCGCTCGCCGGTATTCGTGATGTATCAATCCATACACATTGTAGGGGCTTCCTATAATAGAAGTTCGTTCGTTTAGCGACTGACCCCATGGAGTTTTTATTGGGCATACCATATAAAAAGGCTTTACCGTAATGTATCAGGGGTAGAGATCCTGTCACGGTTGTCATCGAATGTGTTCAGATCTGACTGTACACAGACCGTTCGAGAAGCTCTATTGTGAGATCGTTAGATAGGACAGAGTGCCTCTTTCATGGGTCGAATGAAATCAACACCTCACCTCGGTAGAGATTTTGCGGGCTGCGGTGGATGTATTGGAAGCCTAGCGGAACCCGAGTGACATACGCTGTTAGTATAAGTTCTAACTCAGGGAGGGTGGTACTCACGTATTTAAGTTCTCGTATATCAGTCCTAGAGAAAGAGTGTTATCAGTGAGAGATAGATAGTCTTCAGCTGACGGCTGGGTACACTTACAACCATAGACAAAAGGAGATGATCAGAAGCCAACCTTCGCAAATGAGATGTGCGAAGAGAGATGCAAGAAGAAAGTCAAGAAAGACGGATGGGGGCATATTTATACCCTTCAGGGCGGAGTTTCTCGTCTTTCGCTTGGTTCAAAGGTAGCAGATTGTGAGACTTTCTGATTATTTCTGGGCAAGAGGAAATGCCCTAGAGAAAAATGTTTACTTACCAGCGATGAGCAAACAGGAGCAGCAAAGACTGATTGACGCATAGTTGGCAAGTAGTCAAGGTTCAGGTAGACTACGAGGCCAGACGAGGCCCTCCAGCGGAGGAAAACTACGACTAATTGAGACACCAGAGTTCATTCACCAGCGAATTTAGTTGAATCAACAGCGATGAGCAAACATGAGACGTCCCAAGAATATGCGGAATGACAAATATCTATTATGAGGAACCGTTGAAGGAGAGTTCGAGTCCCAGTCATTTGAATTAGGGATGTAGAAAATGAGGTCGTAAACTTTATTCACTCGCGAATCAGTTGACTCAACGAGATGAGCAAACAGGAGCTTGATCAACAATATTCGGAATGACAGATTCTTGTTGAAGAGTGAAAGTCGAGGCGAGCATCATGAGGCCCTCCTTTTCATTACTGACTTGACTACTTTCATGGCCTTTCTCTCACCCGTTAACTAGCGGAAAAGTAAATACCTACAAACAACAACATGGATTTGCTCGCTCCACTTCTACCACCTTTGTATGGACGGACGAAGTGTGAACACAACACAGGATACACGCTCCGGAGGGAACGTGAAAGTTGCCATTTCCCCTCTAGCAGAATGCGAACATTGGGCAGCTCAAATAGGCAAGACCATAACAATGCATGGTGATCAGTTGAGCCAACACCGGGTACCTTGGATCCACACCGGTGCGGCCCGTGGGTCGAGGTGGGGCCACCATATCCACTCTGGTGCCTCAACGTTGAGTGAACGACAGTGAATGATCAGCGAGGAAAGCCAGAAGCCCTCAGAGAATGATGGTGAATGAGAGATTGCTCAGTTTTATGCGACTCCCGAAAACTCTCCACAGCATCCTTGGAATCGCTTTCCATTACATTTCGACCGTTCCAGCAACAAGCACCGCTCCTCAAGTAGCGGGTGCTGGGCATACACTACTCCACAAAAAGACACAAAAGTGCGTCACGCCAAAAGTTGAGAATGGGAGACAGTTATTCACTAAGTTGATATGACATAGGCTTTTTGATAGTAATGCCATATTCAGAGTATATTGACAATCACCAAGAGCTCAGAGCTCTCTGCAGCCTCTCCGCTGCCAATCTTGGCCACATAATATCAGCCATCAAGTAGAATATGTGGACACGTGGGACTCTACACAAGTCCAGTCATGGATGTATGGAAGGAATACCCTTGAATAGCAATCATGTAGGCATACCTTCTCTCAATGTGCAGCAAAGACAAAACTTGTCAAGCCGTGTACCTCAGTACTTCACAATAAGCCGCCAGAACTTGGGCATAGTCAAGCGGAGGTGACATGGAAGCCGCACGCAATTCGACGAGCCTCTTCAAAGTAGACCAATGGCCTGACCACAGTCCTCCCCCATGGCACTTTCGCATGCGCAGCATAATGCTGAGGACTTTCATTCCGACTCACTTCTTTGAGGTCACCGTACCACTACTGTGAACCATGGGCGAGCCAGCTCTTTGCCCTCCGATTGCAACTGCGCCAATTTTCTGATTCGACCCGCACTTTCTGTGAGTCAGGAATACTACACACCCAGGTGGAATGAACGGTCGTGGTGCTGTCTGGCGCAACATGATTGGCGATCCAGTCGCCAGCAGCGTCCAACTCATGGGTCAAGGCCGGTGAAGACATTGCATCGACGTCCCCGGTGAGAGATTTGCACTGCTGGTATCTGCGAGAAAGCGTAGCTGAAGTCTATAAAAGCAGGCTCCTCCCCCGATCTATTTCTCTTTCTTCACACATCGCGGCCGCGGTGTGTCGCCTCGGACCTTCGGGCCTGAGGCTTCCGTGACGACGGCTGTTGCTGATCCAAGCCCAGTGACATAAGAACAGTGCTTCGCAGGGGGGCGCTGCGTTACCAAGTGAACTCCGCAGGGGGACGCTGTGATGACAATTGAGACCCGCAGGAGACCGCTGCGTCAACAAGTTCTCTGCAGGAGACCGCTGCATTACCAAGTTCTCCGCAGGAGACCGCTGCGTCAAATAAGTTCTCCGCAAGGAAAAATGCGTTACCAAGAGGATCCGCAGGAGACAGCTGCGAAATCAAGCGCCTCCGCAGGAGACAGCTGCGAAATCAAGCGACTCCGCAGGAGACAGCTGCGAAATCAAGCGCCTCCGCAGGGACATCTGCGAAATCAAGGCCCCCTAGCAATGTGCAAGCACCTTTGCGTGGTGCTAGGGACTAGTATTCATCTCCCCTGGGGACTGAAGAAGCCAAGACTTGCACAGTAGATAGACTAAAGCACGAGCCATAGCAGCCCACTGGGAAATGCAATCATCACATTATCAATTCGGTGATCCAAAGCCCTTCGTAGGCCATACCTGGAGTCGTATTTAGTAAAATCGCTTTACGCAATAGGTTCCTCGACATGCCCACTGATGAGCCATTTCAAAACGGTCGTCTCGGACTGCACGAGGCATATGTTAAAAGTAGGCAGTTTGTCTGAATGATCCCTCATTCGCGAACCCAATGCCAGGACCCCGTCCAGGCAGGATTTTCGTGACGCTGACCAATAAGGTGACCTGAGCCGTCGTAGATCGTCCAGCCTTGAAAAGAAGAAAATGGTTGTGAGAGCGATTTGGAGCTGATGCGATTCTTGATGGGAGTGATTTTTGATGTGAGTGTTGACGGGTGCGTGCTGACGTTGACTCGTCGGGCAACAAGCATGCGGTGAAGCGGTGAACGGCAGGCAGTATTTGGCTTCACAATGGCTGATCTGCCCTCGACCCACTTCGCGCGTCCACTCGCCATTGTCCCACGGGCCGCCCCAGGTATACGTCCTCGCCCAGAACTTCGTCGTGGATCGAAGTTTCCTCCTTCATGAACTCCTTATATAAAGTAACTTTACGGAATGTACAACTCCTAATCTCTTGAGACCAACGATCCCTACCTCATAATGGCACAGTTCGACCCGTCGTCTGCCGAACGTGCTCGCACGGGAATTGCGAACTATGAGAGAACAATTCAAGCATTGGACAGCAGATCTGCCTCCCCAGTACTGACAACATTCCCGCAAAAGACAGGCGACTCAAACAAGTCCAGTCACAAATACTCGAACCGAAGAGAACTTAGTGACAGAATACAAAAGCGAGTGCGATTTGACCTGGTTTCGGAAGACAAGTCTAGAAGCGTTGCACATTCCAACAGATCTGCACAGTCAAAATCTAGTACCAGTCGATACGTGCCCTCATCCTCCCTGACTTTACAGCCCAGCCATGCTATTCTACAACGCAGACTGGGCAGATGCAGAAGGTCTGTACTTGAAACCCGGAGCCCCCTCGTATTTATGTCTAAGACCGAGAACTGATTTGTATCTCTAAAATGCAGGTTACTCAGGAGAGACGCCAAATGGGACGACCAAGAAAGGAATGGCAGTGACAGAAAATGTACTGCCAAGGGCATTGAAGATTTCAACAGTGATATTCAAGACCTTAAAAGAGAGATGGAAATCGTCAAAGAGGGACTTGAAATCAATCAAAGTGTGTAAGCCGAATGACTGGATTTAACCGTGAGAGATGAATCCGTCATTCAAGGCCGTGCAGAACTTAAGACTTGTTTGGCGGGATTACGAGGAATTGCGAGGAAAATTTGGTCGAAGACTCACCTACAAATGCTTTTGAACGAGTATCCAAACGAATATTAAATATTGAATAATCCATATAAGAAGACAAACACAATCAATTCTGGTCTGTAAAGCAAAATGCACAAATTGAAGATCATATTATAGAGAAAAAAGACCTCTCCCCTCCGACACTACGTTCCTACATACCTAGCTCTCAACCGGACTAGCTAGACCTTTTTTGTAGCTTTTCTGCTGGTGTTCTTTTCTTTTTTTTTCTTTTCCATATTTCTCAAAAAACTGATACCAGTGACCACTAAACTCGATGCTGAAAACGACTTGCTTTTATCAATCAGCAATCAAAGCTCCTCCTCCACACCTTCAGAGGCAATCAGCCCTTTGACCTCTTCTCCGTTGTTCTGTAGCATGGTCGCTTTGTAGATTTCGTATAGAGCCTCGGCAACAACTTCTCGAGCCTCTTTGTCTGAAGGACTCAAGTTCCCCCAGCCTTCTTTGATTGCTTGTTTCCGCATGAAGTCCGCCTGACTAAACTTGACAGTGGGAGCCTGACCTCGAGTTTCCGCTATATTGCGGTTGTCAGACTCACTGGACGCAGTATTCGTAGGTCTTGGTTCCGGGCTAGTAGGAGAAACCACATCGTCCGGTTCCTCGTCGAGGCTGACCGGGTTGAATCTGGTGCCTCCTCGGGTGTCCCGCCGCGACGGCGCAGGTGTGCTGTTGGTACCGTAAGTCGGAGAAGAATCTCTGACACCAGGTGTCCGTAGGCGCGAAGTGGCTCTCCGTTCCCGAAGGCGGCCCAAGGAGGCGTTCAATGGACATGGCGTAGTACCACGACTGCGTCCTCCGGACCCGGGCTGATTCTCAGCCCAGGCTGCATACTGATTCTCTTGATTGTCCCAAACTTGTTTGATTGTTTCCTCAGCTGCCTCGCGCCCAGGACAAAACCGAACGAACTCGCACTTGGGAATCCACGAAAATCCCAGTGCAACTTTGCACCTTTTCTTGTCATCATCTCTCAAGTCCTTCCACAAAATTTTCACCCACGAGCATGGACTACGTGTGGAGGTTCTGGAGCCTGTGTTTTCAAAGAGGGCTCCATAAATGCCGGCGACATTGGCAGTCGTATACCGGTATACTTTCTTCCCACTAGCAGTGCGGTCTCGAATCGCCGAGATTCGGAAGTCTTCGTCGGTCGTACTGGCGAAGCGATCGTTGGTGTAGTTGGGTTCGTATCTGAATGTGAATCTGGCCGCGTGAGGTGGACCTTCTTGCACGATCACGAAGGTGGATCCTCTCAGCGTGCCCCATCCATCGACAGTGGCATTGGGATCAAGAGGCTCGCTTTCCGTGGGGCGGTTTGCCTTCTTTTTCCCACGTGTATCAATGATAGCCAGACATTTAAAGCCCTCAACAAGGCCAGCGGTGTCTTGGCTTTGGGGCGATGACACTTCTGGAGGGGGATGATCACTTTGTACGTCGAGTGGATTGTTCTCTGCATGGCTTGGACCGAGATCTCTCATTTCGATATCATTTGACTCGATCGATCTGATAGCCTTATCAGGCTGATGCGGGGAGTTCTCATCTACAGGACCATCTTGCTGCATCTGGCCCAGATCATCCTCATCGCGATAGGATGGTTGGTTCTCATTCGAGTTTGCTGGAGATACCGAGGCTTGCTCCAGACCACTCTGTAGTTTGTTTCGTGGGAGAGTCCCTTCCATCGCCATCTTCTCTACCTTGCCAATATTGGAAGAAGGAACTTTTTGCTTTGGGTCGGCGTTTTTGGAAATGCCTTTAGATGACATGATGGTACGACGATGAGGAAACGTCTCTGGATGGATGCGCTGAGACCTTTGAAGGGACTATATATGCATTTTTGCTTTGCCAGTATCACTGCGTTTGTCATACTTGATCATGGATGCGAATTCCGAACTGCGGGCGCTGTCATTGAACACTCATTTTTGTATGGTTGAGTCGGAATTTCATGGGGCGCTGAAGTCGAACTGATCAGTTTTACAAGTGCAGGTCATCATATTCCTGAGACAGGCTTGTTTAAATTGCCTGATGGAAGTGCGCAGTTCGGGCATATGAGTGACTCAGAAACCGCAATGGCACGGTTGTTTCGGCGGCTGATCCCTCTTCACGACCTTTATTCTCTGCGATATTGTTTCTTTGTCGAACATCCATGCCAGAAGTCGATGGTCTCAACTCTTGCACCCCATTCACTTGGAACCCATTCCTGAGGCGCAAGACGGCTTGAGAGCAGCTTTGTTTAGTGAAACATCTAGTAACCATCACATATCCATCACACCTCAAGAAGTATCTCCTAGTGCTGCGGCAGTAATTCCGTGCAGCGACTGAGGCAAAGTTTTAATAGATGAGGAAAGAGCCTTATGAACATGTCCGTTAAGTTCACTTGCTTCTTGCTTCTGAACGAGTGATCCTCACTCAGATTTGTTTATTACCAATGAAACTTATACATACTAAATGGCCTTTCAACATCTTCAGTCCTACAACCAGATCTCATATAAGCGCCTCTATGCCTCGCATAGCCCTCTCGTGTTGAAAATTTTGGCCAAAGATGATCTATTGGCTGCTCTTTTTAGCAGTCCACAGCATACTTACCGAAGCAGCTAATTCCCCTCACCATGAGAAGCATCACGCAAAGGAGCCCCACGACCCCCTCCATGAGCGCGACATTGCTTATGCGGCAGTAATAAGTGGTAACGGCCAGCTCGCTGACGGCTGGCCACGTATCGACCAATGGGTTGACTCTCTTGAACCATGTTCCAGAGCAATAAAGGGATCATTTCTGTCAGCTGCGCCGAATGGGGCCTCCCCAATAGCTCGGAAGATGAAACACAGTTCATCAAGGATGCCATCTACCAAGTAGAGAAATCGAGCGGCGTCGACGCGCGCTTTATCTTTGCAATCGTCATGCAGGAGAGCAAAGGATGCGTTCGCGTTCAGACTACCAAGAATGGGGTCGCTAATCCTGGACTTATGCAAAGCCACGATGGACCGGGGTCCTGCAACAAAGATGGAGTAATTCAGAACCCTTGTCCCAGGAGCGAGATACTCCAGATGATCCTGGAGGGCGTTGAAGGCACCCCAGCCGGGCCTGGCCTCAAGGCACTGATAGCTCAAGAGGGCGGCACAGCAGATGTGACTTCATATTACAAGGCTGCGCGTGCTTACAACTCCGGCGCGGTGGCTTCTAGCGGCAACCTGGGCCAGGGCGGTGCCACTCACTGCTATGTTTCTGACGTCGCCAATCGCCTTATGGGTTGGACCGATGGACCCAGTTTGTGCGCTCCAGATGCCACTGGGCAAATATCTGCTGCTCTTTGGGATGGCGACAGTTCTGCTGGGCACACTGACCGCAATGGGACGTCGACTACTACAACCGCGCGGATCCTTGCCCAAACCCACGGTTCCTCTTCATCCAGCCTAAGCGCACCCTCAACACTTATTTTGCAGTCCTCTGTGACCTGGACATCTGCGCGGGCCTCTCACAGTTCAACTTCATTGGCTTGTAGACGCGAGGGCACTTAGGCTACACAACATATGCAGCGTCATGTTGGACAGTGCTTATGATGCCCTAGCTGTGTTGATATCAAGGACCGAGATTGTCTAGCCACCAGAGTAGATACAAGCTAAAGCGTTTCCAAAAGGATTCAGGTATACCGAAAGCAGAACGCTCATTTAAAGTCCTCTTTCTCTAAGCGGGCGAGAAGTCTCCCTTGTAGTTCCAGCTGAGCAAGAAGTTTTTCTTCCCGCACCTTCTGCTCTGCCTCTCGCGCCTTCTGCTCTGCCTCCCGCGCCTTCTGCTCTGCTTCCCGTTTCTTTTCTCGTTCCTTCTGATCTGCTTCTCGTTGCTTCTCACGAGCAAATTGCTCTTCCAACTGAGCAAGGAGTCTCTCTTCCCGCGTCTTCTGCTCTGCCTCCCGCGCCTTCTGCTCTGCCTCCCGCGCCTTTTGCTCTGCTTCCCGTTTCTCCTCCTTTGCCTTCTGTTCTGCTAGCTGTTGCTGCAGTGTTTGAACCATCATTCGCAGCTCAGGTTGCAGTCCACGGCCCTGCGAGGATGCGGCTCTACGATATCCTGGCCGTTCCTGCGATCCAATGATGGACAGCTGTGACTCGACTTCATCGACGTCGATTCCCGAGGTGTCGTCTTCTGGATCAGGAACTCTGCCAAGGACGCGCATCAATCGATCGGTATGAATGCGCAGGAACTCACGGTCCACACTTTTCACGAATCGATAGCATGTCCATCGATCTTCTGGGGTCCAGACGTTGGGTTGTGCAATTGGCCACCGGTAGAATGAGACTTTATCTTCCTCAAACTCAGGATAGTAGCCGTATATGCGAAAGCCATCGAGTTCATGAGATATCGAAAAGCCCAGAATCCGCCGATGCACCTCTTCTGTACAGCCAGCCGCCTGGCACAGCGAGACCACGGCTCGCAGCGCGATGCACATGCTGTGCATGTTTTGCCGGTCCGCGAGCTCTAGCGCTTGGTTTCCACACTTGATTTCAGCGGTCAGGTAAGGAAAGTACATGTCCTCGCGCGCTGTATACGGCGATTTTTCGTCGGGTCTGATGCCGAGCTTGCGCCGTTGGCTCTCAGTGAACACTGACCACTTCAATCCACGTGCATGGTCAGGCTGCGGCTTTGGACCATAGATCGGCTCAGTCTTCAGCCATGGATCATTGTATCCATCTATGACGTCTCTCAGGCCCTGCGTGCCCCTGATGAACTGATTTTCCGCGGACGGCATGATCAGGGGATGCAGGTCTACCAGGAGACGCGCTTCAGACCGGTTCCGCAGCGCGTAATGGAATCTGTCAACATACTCGTCATCGAACAGGGTGCCCTGGGGAGTTGCGATCGGCTGACGGAGAAGACGCTCACAGAGCGCGATGTCGTCGGGCGTCGGGCCGGCTGGGGACGGCTGCATGAAGCAACCCTTGGTCTCCAGTATGGTCACATAGTTCACAGCTCGGTAGGCGTATGACCGAGTGTCACGAGCCGAGCTGCTTTCGCTGTTGTCCGAGGAGACCGACCGAGCGCGTCCCCGGTCGGTAGAGATCGAGCGGGATCGGGATCGCTTGGATGCTGGTTCACTCATTTCTTCGACGAAAGCAGCCTCCGGCGCTGGTATCCACTGGTATATTTGGTCTTCAAGCGGGGTGGACGTATGCGTGAGCGAGATTGGCGTCGTAGTTCGGTGTTCAGGAAGATTGGATTTCTACGCAGTTAGCTACTGGAACGTCGTCAACCCAGACACGCTACTCACTTTTCCAGGGTGATCTGGCGAGGAGGGAGAAGGCGGCTGTGATGATTTCCTACGGTCGTGCTTCCTCTGCAAAGGTTCTGGATTCGTGCTCAAGCTACCTCGCCGGGGAACTTTGGACGGCCGCTCCTCACCATCACTCTGAGAGTCGCATAGATCGGGCGACGTTCCACGTTTCATGACGGTGTATTTGACCAATCAAGGGTATTCATCTTCCTGGTCAGCAGCACGCTTGGACAGAGATCAAATGCGACGCGGTTTCATCGGTCAGAGGATGTCGGGTATCGAGTGGTGACGGAGCCTAGCCAGCAGAACACGAGTCGGCGCCAAGACATCCAATCAATTCCTCCGCGGACCGTCATGGACCCACTATCCAGCGCAGCTCTCTGTGCCTTTATGACTAGTTTGGGCGATCGAAGAAATGGCGTTTCAAGTTGGACATTACACATTCTTGCTGGGAACTCGACTCCTTTTCTTGTGTGGTGGCCACATTGTACCAATCATCTCATAAGGAAGGATTTTTTTGATCCCCACATCATGAGCAGCTATCAAGACAGAACTGTCGGCGTATCAGCACAGGGCGCTCTGTGAAAGTTCGCCAGCTCCTTTCTTGACGAGGGGAAGACACTTTGATCTTGGGCCTTAGCATTAAAGCCGGTTCAACGAGGCCCACTGCAGCTAGCCGGTTTACTACCCTGGTCACGAAATCGAGTTGCTCAGATGGGCCGCGCTCAAAGAGTGGAAACCGCGCGGTTTAAATTTCGAAATACACATAGAATCTATGATAGATCTCGATGATAGATAATTCCTCGTCTATGATAGGATGCGCCCAGTAGGCCCTCCGGTCCATGTCATTGAGCACATCTTAACTTAATTCTGGATTCTGCACCGTGCCTCCGCCCAGCCCATCCGAAACACCCATACCCGTTAGTTACAGGCTGAAAGAACCCAAGCGAAGAGAGCGAGGGCATCGCTCAGACATCAAGTTTTGGCCCTCCATCGGACGCTTCTGATCCATCTCTGCATAAATTTTCTGCTGATCCCGTGGCAGATCCCGGGAGATTACTGTCGAAGAAAGTCGACGCCGAAGAAAAGTCCTCGCGCAGACGAATATGATTATCAGGGCGCTTGGGTGGTGTCGATCCAAGCCCAGAGGCATGGGAAGGCGGCAGGTCTTGTGGCGAGCGGACCTGGTTTAACTCAGACCGCTCCTTCATGCCTGAGCGATCGTTTGAGCTTTCAATCTTTGCGTTCTGAGAGTTCGCATTGTCTGGTGGCCCTTGTTGGGTATGACTCTGTTGACAAATACACGGTGATGATTGCACGAGAGTGCAGAGCCGATTGAGCACAGAGAACTCCAGCTTTAGCTTTATGCTGTACACCACTGTCTTGAAACTGACTTGGATATAGTGCACTTTGTACTCTGTGATGAGGAGCAGGATATTCATGACGACCACGAGTACGTTCACCCAAATGAGGTGAATCATGACTTTGCGTCCGTCGGGACCGCGCATCTGCGTGATCAATTTCAGCGACCGCATTGCTTCGCGCATATACAAACCGCAGATGATCAGGTCCTGGATGCAAAAGCCCGTTACTTGGATACGATCGTAGATCATGGCCGGCCGTACGAAGCGGGTGTCGCCGCTGTTCACGCCAAAGAATAGCACTGTCATGGGTATATGAAAGGCGCAGGCGGTGATGATGATCATCCATAAAACCCATCGCAGGAGGGTAGCATCGCGGACAACAATTCTTAGTCGTGAATAGAGCATGATCGCTTGACCAGTGACCATCGCGTACCATCCGATCATGAACGGAATGGAGACCGCCAGATTGGAAGACTGGGACATGAAGCGAGCCATTGCTGGGATAGCATGCACGAGGATCCCCCATGCTGCAACTTGCATACTCCAAAAGTATAGTCCACCGTAGTGCTTGAACGCATCAAAGATGAGGACGACAGTCTCGAGAGAATTGTATGCGCCGATTGAAAACATGGACACAATCTCGATGACTGCGATGTTTCGCATGAGGATGGCCCCAACATCCGGAGGGAGACTGGTGACAAGGGTGTCCATGGTTACAATATGCGAGTAAAGGGAGCAGAGGCAGATAGTGTCAGAATAATTGAACAACTGGAACTAATACGTTACTTAGGACCTGCTATCAAAGCTTTATAGCACAATGGTCGGACAGCACTGAGTCGTGTGTATGGTAACGTCAATCACTCCCATCGAGAGAATTATATCAAATGCAAAAGTCTAATGTGAAAAGAATGATCCAGGCTTTCATGGCGTCCATTGATTCATGACATTGTCTTTATCGTGGTGATTCTATCCACCAATGGCCGTGGCTCTTGTTTGTTCATGTTGGTGGGGAATTCCACTGTGAAAGGCGCGCGATACTGTCAGGACCGCGGATCAAAATTATGGTTGATAAACATTAGGCGAACCACGGATGAGGTCTTTTCGGGAGACTATGGACCTTGGTTTCTTAAATCTTGAATCACTTTCTGGTCAATTTACAAGCTTTTGTGAGTTCCATTCTTCTGTTGATACGCAGCTTCCTGTGACAGAATCGAGAAAGATTCACAAGCCCACAGTCGGTCCAGATAGTTGGACAGGGTTAGAAAATCCCGCATGTATTCAGTGAACCTTTGGTAGTTCGACAGTGATAGTGACGCTTTCCAGAATTATCGAAGCTATAAAGAAGTCAGACGAGTGGACGTGCTTTGTTGGAACGGCAAATCTCCTCACGAGGCTGAGGAGCTGACAACACCCTATATGAAGTAGAAGGCATCATTCAAGGGCTGGTCAGCAAGGGGATCTAGTCCCTTCAATATCTCAAAACACATTTAGAAGCGTAGGATCGAGCGCTGTGAATACTATGGGCGGACCTACATGAAAGCCCCTCTATAAACGCTAGCACGTTTTTGATTTAGCTAATAGGATTCTCCGTGGAACCAGAGCCCCCACGTTTCATGCCTGCCAAGATTCAAGATCCGTGGAGCGGATCGGTCGATGAGTGGCTCCACATGAAGAGGAATACCCCTGGTGCGACTCAAATCGGGAAATTCATCAATACAGATTTACGCTATAGTATCGTGACAGCGAGCTCGGTGAGCGTGTTTGGCGGTATTGGAGAAGTACATGAAGCCCGTGGCTTCCCGTGTCGGCTCCTGAGGGTCTTTCCTACCACAGACCTGTCTTTCATCCAGAACGTCTCCTCACTGTGACGATCAATTTCTCGACGCGCAAAGCCCAGTTTAACAAGACACGAATCCTTTTCTAGCCCACACCAATCTGCAAGGCTAGCGTGGATCATGGCCGCGGGCGTACCGAGTAACAAGTTGGTCAGTCGCCATCCTCCATATTTTTGAGATCACGCTCGTTCGCAGGACTCGTGGATAATTGTTCTTAATTCTTGCTCTCTGTGCACATTCGCTGACCGAAATGACATCTAGGATCGTGTAAAATCACGGGAGAGCAGAGAATACCGCAAGGCAATGTACCAGAAATGCTTTCCTGTCACAAATGCATGCGAGGAAGAGTTCTATCAGGCACTTGGCGAAAAGGACGCACAGATCGCCGGCATGCAATTGGAAATACAACGTCTCCACGCCGATAGGGCCGAGGATGCCGCCAAAATCCAGCAGCAAGTGATAGAAAATGGTAAAATCTTTTTTGAAGCACGACGCCTGGAAAACGAACTGCATGAGTTGCGTCAGCAGATGAATCTCATGGCTGCCAACATGCAAGCATAAATCCAGCAGCAGGAGAATCAGCTAGCCTCACAGCATGCGATTGGCGAGGTCGCTGCGGCGAATGCTCTACTCTGGAGCATGGTCAACAATCCAGTGAGTGGACCGCAGATTCCTTATGTGCCAGAGTCCGGATTGGCTGACGGAGGCTGGCCTGACCAAAGCGCCCTCGACTTTCCCGTCCACGAATGCTCTCTTCAACCACAGCACTCGATTGATCTTAATTTGACATGAGACTTCAGTCCAGTGAAGCACGGTGGGAGGTCAGGGTCACTAACAGTCTGGGGCTTGATAGAACGAGGAGTGGTCACCCTTAGCACACATTGCACAATTAAGAGTAATTGTACTGGAATCCATCTTGACTATTTCTGCCATTTAGGCCATTAGCAGCAAAGTCTTCGCCATAGTAATAGATGATATCGTCATTGCAAGCTCTCCTACCCTCTACAGTTAAGCTGCAACAAACGTTTTGTGCTGAGCGGAGTGGCGTAGTGGATACTCGATGTGAACGCGGTCCAGATCCATAACTCAATCTTCGGTTAGTTTCTCCCCGAGCCTGCCAGTGTCCTGGGTACCCACTTCCCGCGATAAGCACCGGAAAATAAAATTCTGCGACTAGATGCCCGTGTATACTCCCTGTGAGCGATTTAGCTGGTCCTTCGTGATGAGGCACTTGCGTGGAGGTAATGAGGGCGAAAGAACGTGGGGGACTTTCACTAGCATATCCTGCCTTCAGTCAATATTTTAAGTCCTTCATCTTCAGAGTTCTTCAGGCTGGAATATTGACTTCAATGACACAATAGTAGACCAATAATTGTCCCGAGTCATTGGGACCACCCTGAATGAATCCCGGGCGTCAAAATTTGATTGACGCTGGGTGTGGACGGATTCAGGGTAGACGAACCAATACTCATATTTAGTCCCACTCAGGTCCGGACAAAGTCAATTCACAGCGCGTCCATGGTTGTGACATTTGGAATAGTCTCCCGGATAGTCAAAAGACAAATTCTTAGTACCTGCCTTTCTCTCTACTAGCCTTGCAGCCAGTGAACCTGTTTTGAGATCGGGAAGCGTTGCTTATTCTCGAGAAACTTGTGATTTCTCTTCATGCCAGGGTTGACACTGCATACGGCAGATCTACAGGTGTGACGTAACCGGAATTATATCATATTGATTACGGTCGCGATAAGTGTACGGCCCATGGTTCCGACAACCCACTGCCAAGTCAACGGATCGCCGTCCACAGTCCAGAGTAACCCGCTTTGTATCCTAATTTTACCACATAGCTTTCCACGAACTGTCTTCAAAATTCCTGCCTCCCAGGTGTCTACTGCGGGGTGTATTTCCGATCAAAGGATCTTCCCATTCAATGAGTTAATTTTCTTCACACAATGTACCGGTCAAGGCTTCTAGACTGGAAGTTGGAGAATGGTTAAGCTATCCAGATCTCTGATCCTGTACTAGTGAAAGCCACTTAGGCGAGGTCCCCGTCTAATTCGCGGGATATTTTGATGCTTGTTGTTTCAAATTCAAGCCAGCCTCGATAGACAATAGTTTTTTTTAACAACAGATCGACAACCCTTTCTTTCCTTAGAATTCAGTGTAACAACTCTAATGCGTAGATCAAATGTTGATCCCGCTTTAGGGCGCTATTGAGTGATTGCCACTTCGTTTGTTCAACAGGTCGCGTCCGATTCTGTTCAGCTCTGCCAAGAGGCTGCAAAAGGTCAACCATGGACCTTGATGCAACATCGCGCCCACCAGGAGTACTTTTTGTGCGACCAAAGAATGAATTGCTTGTCAATTGCGATTCTCCATAAAGCCGCAACTGCTCACCCATGAGAACACCCCTGGGTAAGAACATTTTCATCCCCATTTCAATCACTTGCTTACCGCCAAACGGTCATAAACGCTACTCCTTAGTTGCATGATGACGCCCCATAATGCAGTCGGCTGGTCAGCCTGGGAGGAGGAAAACCTCCTTCCCTGGCTCGAATCTAACCGAGACTTGACCTGGAAAGCTTTGTCGATTGCCTATTGGCAGCAGTATCATGTAAGACGAAGCGTCGAGTCTCTACGAGGGAAAAAGCACCACATCCTTCGAAAACGCCGCGACGCTGGCAAAACGCTAATTGTCAATGAATCCGAGGCGTCAAAGTGTGCAAACTGCAAAATTTCGAAGAAGAGAAAGCGACTGAGGCGTTCAACCAACCAATGGCTCAGGAATCCGCCACACATCAATCAGACCGCAGTGACTACAAAGTCGAAAAGATCATTCACTAGTAAGATGCCTGTTGAGATTGCTTTGAATTTTTACCAAGCTGATCCATATCACAGATCCGACACTGATGCCAGCAGACTACACACGGCTTGATCATAGGAGGAAATGACCGGACCTGGGAGTGTGTTTACCACTTTGGCGGAGCCCAGCGATTGGGGGTTTTGATTTTGTGACTGTACTACATGCAAGATGAATGGCACATACGGACAGAACAAGTCATTTGTAACAACATTCGAATAGGCAGGAATGACATTCTCTTTCCATGATATGTACTCCATAAAATCTTCCTTGTCAAGAGTTGGATGAATTCATGGTGGTAATGTGCTCGGCGAGGCTCAAAGTACCTGTTTCATCATTATTATCTCAATTCAATCCAGTGTAGACCGCATCAGAAGCATACTCGCTTGCAAAGGAATCACCATCAATGAGTGTGGCTGTCTCAGTTGATTGCCTGCTCGTCTTGTTGAGCAGCCTGTGAGTTGTAGAGTGACGCGAAAGTATCGGACCCAGTAAGGTTGGATGTTCCACCCGGATTGAGCCAATTGCAATCCATGGCACTTGACCCAGGCAGGAATGTTGCTAGCTGGCGATTCTGGATGGCTTCGATCGAGCTCCAAAGCCCAGTAGCTGCCGATACCAACTGACTATGAGCTTGGTACAAGGCTGACTGTATCTCGCTCCAGCTCACTTGGCCTTGCGTGGCCAGGGCCTGTGCCTCCAGCTCTTGCTTCAGGCGAGAAACCTCACCCTCGGCCTGTAAATTCTTGGCTGAGAGACTGTCTTTTTCGGCGATAATCTGTTCCATTGTTTTCACATCCTGTGCCTTTTCTGCCTGAAAACGTGCCGTGGCCCTAGCTAGCTGCTCATCCGCTTCTCTCTCCATCTCAGTCTGGACCTCAGAAAGGAGATCAGAGCATTTCTGACGGTCGATTTTGCCATATTTGCGGGAGCCTTTCGCGGAAAAACCCTATGTGCTGTCAATAAAAGGCTAGAGTGTGATAGAGCGCCACAAGATTGAATGAATCAGGTCTTGCAGGTCCGAAAAACGACTCACACTGTGATGGCGTTTCAAAATGCCAGACTTCGCGCCCCGGACGGTCGAAACTGGAGACGCCGACCGGATTGAGACATTTGAAACTGATCGAGCTTTAGTAATCACCGGGCCTTACTCGCTGCGAGTGATGGCCATTTCGATCCTGCTTGCAGCTATTTCCTCGCGTCATGGTGAAAGAAGGGAACTTGGGGTAGGAAGATGGGTCGTCAAACACCAGAGCAGTAAAGAGAGATTGATATTTAACACACGCCCTGGAGCCTGGCAAGCCAAGATATCCATGATTTAAATACTGGAAATAAGTTTTGAAACTCACCGGACACTAGACTGCTGCCAAAGGGGGATATGGGTAGACTTCGATTGGTCTGCACTTTGGCTCATAAATCAGAGTTGACGTTAAGTTGACGACTATTTTATCCCACGCTATCTAAAAAAGGGCATCACCTTTCTTGCTGAGATTTGGTACTTGCGATATGTGCAGTTGTTCTCGCTGGCCTTCACCACGCAGCTCAAATCAATGATAATATTTTTGCGGCCTATTTTCTATTCTCCTGTAGGCTAATAATAAATATTGTGGATTCACTGCAGACCAATACATAGACAGCCTGTGGATTACTCGAGATGGCGCAACATTGGTAGCTTTGTCGAACCATGCCTCAAGCGGGTCACTCATTTACCCTCCAAAAACAAATTAGACGATGAGTCGGGCTAGAAGTGATGTTGACTGAATTAGGGCGTGTCTATCATCCATGTCGGTTCCCAATGTGATTTGCAATGGCTCCACAGTTGGCCGCTATTGAGTCCACATGTGGGCACTCAACAATCACGTTGACTCACCAGCATCAAATTAATGGAAAGCATCTAGGAGCCATACCTTCTGGATGTTGATTTTGGTTCATCTCCTGGCGGCCCATTGCAGGAGCAAACACGGTCCCATGGAATCCGTCAAAGGTATTACGTGCGTGCGGTTTGCGGGCAATGCCGTGACTCACTTAACAAAATGCGGTTGCCACTTCTTTGGTATAAAGAGCAATCATTTACCGGCTGCATTTTCTAACTAGTAAGGAGGGTTCATTTCTTGACTGCCTATAAAAATGAATGCGTATTCTAACGACTCGACTGCCGACCGGCGACAGCGTCTCCGCCAGAGATTGCAGCGTGCTCTCTCGCTGTCATCTTGTGATTCCGATGGCTCTGGAAGTGCTTTGAGTGGTGATACCATAGTAGATGATCCTTCCTTCCAAGGTCAGGAAGATGAGCGCGAGTCCCACCTCGGAAGTGATGAGGGAGAGCAATCCCCGGGCAATGAACATTCCGCCCCCACCAAAGGGCTGGCAAGAGCCTTCCCTTCACCTCAGAATGTCGAGGCGATCGATGTAACAGACAGTATCATTGCCATGCAATGTGTAGCTGAGTATGTCCCCGTTTTCCTTTCTTGAGACCAATAGCTGACCTGACCGAAGTCTAGATAATCGGATGAAGTAAGTGAGGAAGCAAGACCGTCCCAAGCACTGCTGACAACTTTTTAGTGGCCTCGAAAGTGCTCTGCATGAGCAAAATATATGGAATGAATCGACAAACCATTTGTTAGAGGATCTCAGCAAGCGATTGGCAGCTGTGGAAACGCTATTTCAAGACGTCAGGGACACGGGAAGGGCGGGAAGGGAAGCGACGGGTGGTCGTCGTCGCTCTACCCGGCAGAGTGCGCAGCCACGTCAGTGAAAGGAAGCTTATTGGGCAGGTATGACGATAGGGTTCTTGGAAGGCATAAGATTGTCTAAGCCACGGTTTTCTCGAAATTCGAAGGGTGATGATATGCGCCGAGGAGCTGTACTTTCTTCTCTTTAAAATGAGACCTTCCTGTGTATGCTATCTTACTTTCCTTCAAACAGAATTATAATCATCTCTCCAAGCAAATCAGTTCAAGAACTAAGGAGTCAAGATCCGGACCGCGGAATGAAACGAGAGCTGCAGCGGAGATTCAGCTGCCTGGCGTCAAAGGCCTCTCGCCACAAGCTTGAAACTTGCCGCTCTTTTCAGCCGAGGATAGAAATTGATTTCTGGCCATGTAAAGAACTATTAAAGTGAAAGCTTTGTCAGAGGCTCATAATAACACTGTATAGCTACCTCTAAGATGTTCCTTGACGCTCGGAGCATCCTCGCAACAAGGCAACACATTATTTTCGCCCCATTTTTATAGAACGTAGAAAATACGAAAGGCATAGCGTGCTAAGGACATGAACCTGTCAACTATGTCAGAATTTCTGGTCCTCTTCCTTGTGACAATGTTGGTCACGCTTATATACCCTTTACCCCAGGCAAATGTTGACTGCGGAGCGTTCGGTCGGTCGGTCTGTGGTGTTCAAACATGGATACTTTTGATAAGCATCTCGCTTTCAACTTTCGTGCAATTCAAGCGAAAGAACTTGGAAGTGTGCCAGTCTTGTCAAAGGCAGTGCTTCCCGGCCGCGCACAAGAATCTCACTCGCCAAGCATTTTTACTCGTACATCAAAAGTCGTTACAGGCGCGCCGAAGACTCTTTGCCTTCCCCGTCTCCTAGCCATCGCTGATCTCAACTCCGCATTTCTTGTGCGGCACGAACGTCCATGGGACACCTATCAAGAAATCTTTCACGCGGATCTTGCCGGCGAAGTCATCTTTGCTAGCCGACGCACACACCGATCCCGCATTGTGGCCATTCGAAAGTATCAGAGGCAGGACGCTCGCCGTTTGATCGACCGATTCGGCCACCTAGAGCATGCCAATGTACTGAGACTCCATGAATGCTATCTACACGGTGATTCTGGATTCTTCTTGCTAGATGACTTGCCCTTCACTCTAGGATTGGTTTCAGAGGCTCCCCAGGTTCGTCCGAATGAAAAGGAGCTGAGCGCTATATTGTCTCAGGTATGTCAGGCAACATTGTTTACGCGGCGTATACTGACCCATGTCCTGTAGGTCATCAGTGGGATGCAATATTTGCACTCATTTGGACTCACTCATCAATCGCTTGGTTGCGGGGATTTTCTACTTGGACTGGACGGAGCTGTCAAGATCGGTGCGTCAACCGCCCTTGGTATTGATTTAAACTGACATTCCCCAGCACGCTTAGAGCTCTGTGTAGACTGCACGCCAGATCAGGCTGAGCAGGCGTACCTGTCAATGATTCCATCACTGGCCTTGCAGCTCATGCACAAAGATCAGGAGAGCGAAGAAACTCGCATCGCACATTGGCCGATCAGGTGTGCTGCAAGCCGATTCCTGGCTGTTGCTACATCGGCAAAGTCAATTCTGGCACTTCAAATGGTACTTGCAGCCCCATTCATGCTTCCCATGTCTAAAAGATTCTAACAAAAGGCAGGAACATTTTATCGCCAGCATTGCTCATGATGGGAAAGAGCTCGCTAGTCTTGTTATACAACTCCTCTGCTTTCGATAGATCATGGCGATAGCAATCGTCCATTTTGGTGGAAAGTCTCTATTTCCTCGACGAGTATATGTGTAACTAGTTCACACAGCATAGTTTCCTAATCCAATAACCCTGTCATGAGGCCTCAATCATCAAACCTCCTTCAACTTTGTTGACAGTCTACTTAACAACATTGAATAAGCCAATCAGAACGCACTCAAAAGCTCAATTGAGGGCCAGTCTAGCGACGAGCCATTTTTTTAGTAAATATCAAAGTGACCGCCTATCGCAAATGCCAATGCCGGTGTCCACGTGTTTTCCGATGCTTAGTACTGTGTGCATGTGCCGGTGTCTCACTTTGCCCTTTGTGGGTCCTTTCTGGAAGTGGCGTGGCTCTCACAATCCCATTCTAGGAAGAGAATTAGTTTCATGAGGTGGATGAAGAGATACCCAAAACTGACTGCGTAATAAGAGACCGTGGGCGAGAAGATTGGGCTAGAGGCCTGTCACGGATCAATACTCGGACAATGAAGGAATGTGGCTAACATACCGCGATGGAAAGAAGCAGCGATACTCCCATCAGCCAGAGCTTTATATTGACCATTTTCACGAGCGTGGGGAGAAACAATCATGGCGGAAAGGGGGCATTTATGTTCGAGTGCACGCCAACGTAGGGTCGAACGACCGAGAAAATCAAAAGTGTTTCTTACTGTGATATTCAAATGATCGCATAGTCAGTAGCTCAATCGTAGGTCGAAGGTTTTTTCTGTGAACACCCCTCACATTGTCCACGACGATTCGTTATGTGCACTTGAGTACAATAAAATTAGTTTCCAAGACAGTGTCGCATATTGTCTGTTGCATCAGCACGTCCGGTCTAAACTAATTGACTCAGATGACTGTCGAAAAGAAAGGTCTGGTGAGTTGTCGGTGAGTAAACAAATGGGAGAAGAGTTGACCAACAGTTGCGTCAACTAAATTCAAATTTTTCGTGTGCAGTAGCCTGTGTTTGAACCATGGTATGAGTTCGAACACACTGCACAAGCAAATATAAGATGAACATCTATCGCCTTAATTCTCATTTCATCTACCTTTGCAACTCAGTATTTCGTTAACTCGCACCATGGACCCTCTTCCCAATATCGCCTCTCCTCGTCATGCCACCGACCCCAACGAGAGCCCGTCTTCTACTATGATGCAGGAACAACCTGCAAAAGAAATTCCCGACCAGCAGGTACGTTCTACATCAAAAACTATTTGAGCCCCATCGTTTCTTCGTTAGATTCTAATGTGTCTCAGACGGTGCCAGACAACAGCATTCCGGGTAGCTCCCGCACGATCCTTAAACAGCCATTCGAAGACATACAAGAAACTTTGGCTGATCTCGAGATCAGTGACCCCAAACTAGCCTTTCAAGCGGCTCGACTCGTCGGTCTATACCGACGCTTGTGGGAATCCTGTGTTTCTAAGCAAATGCGGGAGGTCCAGCTTGTGCGGGAGAACCATAGTTTGCGTGAGGCTATAGATCATACTCAGACAGAGAAGCACGATCTCAGCATACGTGCGGAAGAGCTGAAGATCAAGTTGGAGGCTTTCGATCGTGCGTTCGAGTCCTCGCGACAGCAAATCATGGGCATCATGGATATATGGCGTCAATGTGAGTGCGGAGATCTGGACGATGTGATAATGGAGGCGGAATAAATGGTTTGGAAGACTGGTCTGTTCAAGGCAGGATTACCTTGCTGAGAAAGCCTGATTGCTTGTCCGTACCTTTTTGTATGTGATATATTCGCGCGGGTTATCCAAGTAGCCCTTCCCAAATAAGAAAACAGAATCTCTGCTAGGATACCTGCCGTACTTTTCAATCTGTAGATGTCTTTGAATAAGAGCCCGAGGGCACCTGGCAAGATCTGTAAATTTTGATGAGCCAAGAAAGGGCCATGCCATACCAAGCCATGGGGTTCGTCCGCCTGCCAAGCGAATTATTTAAAGGAGAGGGTGTCCTGACAGAAAGATATCCAAATTTACCAACTCATTCCTATCCTTGAGAAATTCATTCATATATTTCGGTCGCTATCCCTTTTCCTGTAAGGATTTTACAAGAATGAGTTGTTCAGACATGATCAACTTGCGTCGCCTGACATTCAACGTCAGTCAGCCTTGCCGTGATGAAATTGATCTGGACTTGGACCTCGACGAGATCTCGAGGGGAATATGCACCGTGTCAGCTGGCCCACCTGACGTTGAGTCTGATGGCGAGCTGCTTACCGAGGAACCCTCAGAGGCGACAAATTGCCACTCCTCCACGACCGATTGTTTGCTTTATTCTGACTCCTCGGCTTCTTTCTTTTTGGGTGGCCGGGCCCCAATCCCCTCTCGATTGCAGCATCCATTGATGAGATGTTTCATTTGATGCTACCCATGAGCGACCTTCAGATGGCACATGTCCTCGAGTTTCGTCTTCTACGACTGGATCCGTGCACCGGAGAGATGATTGCGCAGGATATCTTTCTCTTACCGCGAGTCGAGACTTTCCTGGAGAATCTTCACCGCTTGCAGGCACAGATATTCGACATACTTCGCCTGACTGCAGTGGGAATCCGCTTGCCATCAATCCGAATGCTGGTGCGACCGCTCGCGAGGGCTCTCCCGTTTCACAACCAGGTATGCAGCCCGTGTACTGATCACGCGAGTGGTCGGATGCTTTTAGATCCTGCCTTTTTTGTGCACAACTCGATCACAAACTATCGTTAAAGAGACATCTCGCTTTCCCCTTGCGAATTAGAGTGCTGCGTTTTCTTTTGGAGCTCGAGATTGTGTTGCGTCTTCAATAAACCCCAGTCAGGGACTTTGCAATGAGACATATTCTCAATTATGAAATAAAATACCGACCTCAAGATATCTCACCGCAAGAAGATTTACAAGTTGGAGGTCAACTTGAATCAGCGATTTTGTAGTCATTCAATGAGACTTCAAACAAGTATGTACTCAAACTCGGCATCATAAAGAGACTCCAGATTGCTGTTGCAGTAACGGAAGATATCCTCATGCGTTTTGATGAAAACCATCCATTATCAACGTGTTGATTCAACAGTCACCTTACCAGTCAAGATGGCCGTCGACCTTGTTTGTCGACCGTTCGGTCAACATGCTCAACTGTTCTTTCACCTTTTGTGTACCACAAAGTCTGGACAGACCAAATTGGAAATTAGTGTCCCAAAGCTTGCATTCAGGTGTAACGCGAGGTCACGCCGCCAGCTGCAGTCGTGCGAATTTTCAAACTCGCTTTCAGCACATAAAGTCTAGTCAAAGAATATCCTAGCTCTTGTCAAGTGTGGCATTGTCTCCGCTGAAAATGTGCGCTTTTCACTCAGACTGAGCGCAGCAACCAACGCTTGATCAATATCCCAAATTGCTTACTTTGTATGACAAGCCATCGCGTTGTCCAATATGGGCAAAAGCCGGAAGCGGATCAGACGATACCAGCGGCATGACAACCATGCAACTCCAAAAAATGACCAGGCAGAAGAGAAATCGCCTCTCATCGGTTTCATTCCATGCCAAACCGAGAGCAGGTAAGTGATTCTATCCGATAGAAGGTCGAGACTGACCACTCGAGCTTCAAGCTCCTGCCAGATGCAAAAGTCCCTCGATTGCCTACGCACAAAGAAGACCTTTGGTGCGACATCATTCTACTCCTACATTTTGTTCTACCAGTAAAGCTAACAATATTCCTTTTGCCCAGAAGTCATGCATGATATATATGATTTGGTCGACCTACCAACCGCCTACGTCCCCTTTCGTGTTCAACATCTTGTCCTTCAAGCCATCCAGCGGTATTTGGAAGCCGAGGCCTTTCGATTCGTGCAGCAGTGGCTACCAAAGGAAGCTGAGGCGAATGGATGGTCCTGTGCAGAGGCGCTGGAATTGCACAAGCTATTTCCATTTTTGAAGAGACATTTTCGAAAGCTTTCGCTGTCTGCATTTCCACAGAAACAAAAGCCTCCGCCGAACTGGCACCAGCCAATTTGTGCCATTCGCCATGCTGCGGTGCACCGTATTTCTCAGAACCGCAACTCTCTTCTAAAAATGGTCAATAACGCGATTGGACTGGTGTGGTTATTGAGTGGGAATTGCGAGGCCAAAAAACTCTATGAATTCTGGATTCTCCTAGACTATATCCTGCCGCAGACGCACCGAGCGCAAATAGACCGCTCGCCAGCCCCAGTGTTGCAGACGAAAGGAAGCCGGCCAGCCCACAATCGCAAAACCCTCCAAGCTGAAATATTACAGCAAGCTTCCCTGCGCAGAGCTCTTGGAGGTGTATTCCAAGCCATAGAAGATAAGTTCGTTCTTGAGTTCCGGCAGACCCTGAAAGAGATCGTTCCGGCTTCAAGGAAGCAGGACACCACCTCTGTTTCATGAGCTAGCCAGCAAGAATGAAGCGGCCTTTGGAGGTCTTTGAATATAGTTGGAAACCGTGTCAAATCGTCAAAACCTGCAATTGCTATCGACGCGCGGCAGTTTGCTCGAAAGACAAGATCAGCTGCTCCGTCTATCGATTTTGCTGCGGCAATTGTGTTGAGTGATTTCTCTCCGCCATCAATGGCTACGCTGTCATGGTCGGGCTGCTACGAGGAACGACAGTCTTGCGATACCGAGAATGCAGTCATAGCCCAACAGACTGGTGTTCCCTTCGTCTAAATTAGCAATTTACATCACATTCAAAGAGAACAGCACAAGGAAATAATTTGAATTAGAAGTGACCACTAGACAGTCGCGTATGTTTTAAGATGCTGGTATAATCCTGACTCTTGGCCAACAACGATCAAATTTCAGCAGCTTACCAACCCTAACACGCTACTACAGTGATAAATCTGACCAAGCAGTATATCCTCCAAATGAAATAATAAACGTATGAAATCCAAAAAGCTTTTAGGTCTCATTCCCATACACTCCCCTGTTACTTCGGCGGAATGGGCGTCGATGAACTGTAGCAAGACGCTATACAGTGAAAGAGGGCTTTCAAATCCATCAAGGTCTCGCTAGGAGCGCAGAATCACTTCCCTTCCCCCTTAGTCCGCATCTTGCATTATTTAAAAGTCGCGCCGAAAGAACCGGACGAAACAAACCGAAAAGGCTCCCAGAGAGAAAAACGTCGCCATCCAAAGAAGGGCGAGCATGGATCCCCCCACCCGCGCTTGGCCACCGAGGTCACCGAGAAAATTGTTGATAGTATGACTGAGAATGCCATACATTGTGGTCACGCCGATGGTAGCCGCCGTGACTAGAGCCAACGAGCACTGAGAAGTCAGTAGGTTTCAAATGAATTAGAGTTTCATAACTCACCATATGGAACGCTGTGAGTAGCTTCTTGTGTCCACCGTAAAACTCCCTCCATACGCCAAGCACTATTGCTAAAACGGTCACTATGAGCCCCAGGATGCACATGCAGGTGATGCCATGAGAAAGCCTTGCATAGCCACTAATACCGTGATCCCCTTTATCGCGTAGTATATGGTCGACGAGTGGGGAGGCTGATCGTAGAATCGCGGATAGGTCGAAGTAGAATGATAGGCTCGGGTGAGAGCACACGGCCTTTTGATCGTCATCTCCGCTGCAGTATCCCCAAAGGCCAACGCGATAATAGTCTGGCAGATGTAACTTGATCTCGCTAGCAATGTTCTCTGCCGCACCCGCGACTTCCTGGGGCGTGTTTTCCACCGTGCTTGCTATGCCCGAGGTGGCTGATCCAATCTCTGTTGGTATTTCCTTGGGACTAACGCCGATTGGGAGGGCGCGAGGAAGAAGCTGCGAGAATCCCTGACCAATGGAGCTCCCCCGTATTTCTGGAAAGCCCTTCAGGTTGACCTACGCGATATTAGCTGAGTATGCGAATTATTCCTAGGCACGCTTACTTCCATCAGGTAGAGGTGTTCGGATGTAGATGACGAAGTGCACCCGGCAAAGAAAATGCTCCAGCAGATCACAGCCACAACGGAAGCCAATATGGTAAACCAAGCAGCAGATCTGTCGGTACTGATTCTCCTTGGGACCTTCATTTCATAGGTCTTTGATTCTTTGCACAAATTGAGAGGGGATGGGCGACACAACCCGTTGGCCAAAGGAACCGGCACAGTATTTGTATGCATCAGGCTGCGCCAATCTCAGGGTAAGGCTACCTATCATGCTATTATGATTCATGCAAAACCATACGGTCTGCAAATGCTAGATGCAGCTAGCCACGTCATCTGGTGCGCTTGCAATTATTGAGTACAATTCCACCACATACTTGAGTGTTCCACCTCAGCTTCAAGAAAAAGTCAGCTCATTTCGAAAGAAAGAACTAAGAGAGAAAAAAAGAACATCAGAAATGTAGCTAAACTATGTAAGGCTCAACCGAAATTTTCGTTCTCTTTTTTGTTGCATTTTGGGCAGTCTCAAGTACATGTACACGCGACTTTACCTTGCTTTGATATTTCAACTGAGGTGGCGAAAAAACTCTCAAAATGAGAATCGTGTTGCGTTTTTGAGAATTTCTTCTGGGCGTTGTACAGTAGCGAACTTGCCACATTGACCCTTACAACTAACTAACGCTGTGACCATCAGCGTATATCAATGGTAAGACTAACAGTGAAAAAAGAATTTCTTGCGACGAGAATTCTGCAGTGACGTGTAGCAACAATTTTTTTGATGCACTTACGTATCTGACACAAGCATGTTAGAAATGAGCCTGATCCTGCTTCACCTCTTTCCAGTAGTCTTCGTGAACAATGAAGATTTCAGACTTTGTTTCCCCTATGCAAAAAATGATGGCAGTATCATGATGGGCTCTGCCTACAAGTTCAATGTGGGTTTAGAGGTTTTTCGTTGTTTTTTTACTATTTAGTCAATCTCATCGGTAATAAAACTATAAAAAGGCCTCGGTTTCAACCACCATATCCGCCGGGGGCATTAAAGAATAGTTTTTGATAGGTGCACTTAATCCGATTTGCGTTGGAGGGAGACCGTGAAAAGGGCAACATAGCTTCAACAAATGGTATCAATTCGACGTACCCAAACATACATGCTCCGCTTCCCAACCTCGCGGAAGAAAACACAATTGTGCCATTATGAGGTAGGGATCGTTGGTCTCAAGAGATTAGGAGGTGTAGATTTTACTTGATATGAAGGAGTCAGGAAAAAGGAAACTTAGATCTACGAAAATTCTAGGCAAGGACGTACAGTATACTTGGGGCAGCCCAGACAATGGTGAATGGACGCGTGAAGTTTGGTCGAGGGCAGACCAGCCAGTGTGAAGCCAAATACTGCCTGCCCTTCACCGCTTCACCTGATGTTTGTAGCCCGACGAGTCAACGTGAGCACGCACCCATCAAGAATCACTCCCATCAAGGATCGCATCACCTCAAAGTCGCTCTCAGCACCATATCCCACTTTCCAGGCCGAACGATCTTTGACGGCTCAGGTCACCTTATTGGTCAGCGTCACGAAAATCCTGCCTGGACGGGGTCCTGGCATTGGGTTCGCGAATGAGGGAATCATTCAGACAAACTGCCTACTTTTAACATATGTCTCGTGCAGTTCGAGATGGCCGCTTTGAATTGGCTCATCAGTGGGCATGTCGAGGTACCTATTGCGTAAAGCGGTTTTACTAAATACGACTCTAGGTATGGCCTACGAGAGAGCTTTGAATCGACTGAACTGATAATGTGATGATTGCATTTCCCAGTGGGCTGCCATGGCTCATGATTTAGTCTATCTACTGTGCAAGTCTTGGCTTCTTCAGTCCCCATGGGAGTTGCAGTCCCCAGGTGAGATGAATACTGGTCCCTAGCACCACGCAGAGGTGCTTGCACATTGCCAGGGGGCCTTGATTTCGCAGATGTCCCTGCGGAGTCGCTTGATTTCGCAGCTGTCTCCTGCGGAGTCGCTTGGTTTCGCAGCTGTCTCCTGCGGAGTCGCTTGGTTTCGCAGCTGTCTCCTGCGGAGTCGCTTGATTTCGCAGCTGTCTCCTGCGGAGGCGCTTGATTTCGCAGCTGTCTCCTGCGGAGTCGCTTGATTTCGCAGCTGTCTCCTGCGGAGTCGCTTGGTTTCGCAGCTGTCTCCTGCGGAGGCGCTTGATTTCGCAGCTGTCTCCTGCGGAGTCGCTTGATTTCGCAGCTGTCTCCTGCGGAGTCGCTTGATTTCGCAGCTGTCTCCTGCGGAGGCGCTTGATTTCGCAGCTGTCTCCTGCGGAGGCGCTTGATTTCGCAGCTGTCTCCTGCGGATCCTCTTGGTAACGCATTTTTCCTTGCGGAGAACTTATTTGACGCAGCGGTCTCCTGCGGAGAACTTGGTAATGCAGCGGTCTCCTGCAGAGAACTTGTTGACGCAGCGGTCTCCTGCGGGTCTCAATTGTCATCACAGCGTCCCCCTGCGGAGTTCACTTGGTAACGCAGCGCCCCCCTGCGAAGCACTATTCTTATGTCACTGGGCTTGGATCAGCAACAGCCGTCGTCACGGAAGCCTCAGGCCCGAAGGTCAGAGGCGACACACCGCGGCCGCGATGTGTGAAGAAAGACAAATGGATCGGGGGAGGAGCCTGCTTTTATGGACTTCAGCTACGCTTTCTCGCAAATACCAGCAGTGCAGGTTTCTCACCGAGGACGGTTCTGGCGGTCGATGCAATGTCTTCACCGGTCTTGATCCATGAGCTGGACGATGCTGGCGTATGGATCGCCAATCATGTCGCGGCAGACAGCACCACGACCGTTCATTCCATCTGGGTGTGTAGTATTCCTGACTCACAGAAAGTGCTGGTCGAATCACAAAATTGGCGCAGTTGCAATCGGAGGGCAAAGAGCTGGCTCGCCCATGGTTCACAGTCGTGGTACGGTGACCTCAGAGACGTGAGTCAGAATGAAGATCCTCAGCATTATACTGCGCGTGCGAAAGTGCCATGGTGGAGGATGGTCTATTTTGAAAAGGCCCGTCGAATTGCGTGCGGCTTCAATGTCACCTCTGCTTGACTATGCTCAAGTTCTGGCGGCTTGTTGTGAGGTACTGAGGTACACGGCTTGACAGGCTTTGTCTTTGCCGTACATTGAGAGAAGGCATGCCTACATGATTGCTATGCAAGGGTATTCCTCCATACATCCATGACTGGACTTGTGCAGAGTCCCACGTGTCCACATATTCTACTAAGGGCTGATATTTTGTGACCAAGATTGGCAGCGGACAGGCTGCAGAGAGCTCTGGGCTCTTGGTGATTGTCAATATACTCTGCAAATGGCATTACTATCAAAAATTCCATGGCATATCAATTTAGTGAATAACTGGCCCCAATTCTCAACTTTTGGCGGGACGCACTTTTGTGTCTTTCGTAGAGTAGTGTATGCCCAGCACCCGCTACTTGAGGAGCGGTGCTTTTTGCTGGGACGGCCGAAATGTAATGGAAAGCGATTCCAAGGACGATATGGAGAGTTTTCGGGGTCGCACAAAACTGAGCAATCTCTCATTCACCATCATTCTCTGAGGGCTTCTGGCTTTCCTCGCTGATCATTCACTATCGTTCACTCAACGTTGAGGTACCAGAGTGGATATGGTGGCTCCACCTCGACCCACAGGCCGCACCGGTGTGGATCCAAGGTACCCAGTGTTGGCTCAACTTAATGACCATGCATTGTTATGGTGTTGCCAATTTGGGCTGCCCACGGTTCACATTATGCTTGAGGGGGAGCGGTAACTTTTACGTTCCCTCCAGGGCGTGTATTATGTGTTGTGTTCACACCTCGTCCGCTCATACAAAGGTGGTAGAAGCGAGGCGAGCAAATGCATCTTGTTTGTAAGTATTTATTTTCCGCTAGTTAATGGGTCAGAGAAAGCCAGGACAGTAGTCAAGTCAGTAATCAAACGGAGGACTTTCTAGTGCTCGCCTCAAATTTCACTTTTCAACAGGTATCTGCCATTCCAAATATTGTTGATCAAGCTCCTGTTTGCTCATCCCCGTTGAGTCAACTGATTCGCGAGTGAATAAAGTTTACGACCTCGTTTTCTACATCCCCAATTGTTGTAATTCAAAGAAAGATTGATTATTATATTTGAGAAGGAAACATAGGACTATATATACATCAAGAAGAACAAGTTGATTTCCAATCAACTTGATTCTTCGTATAGATACATCGGGATTAATTCCGATGGTGCGGCTCTGTTCCTGATCTGCACCAACCTGAAATCACAACATTCCCCCTCAGGATCGTCTTGCTGGCAGGGCGATACTGGAGTTGTGCAGAGCAGTCAGGCCTCGGTAAAACCACTCAAAACCTTCGTGGGAAAATAAAGTGGAAAGAGCGCCTGCGCTGTCATGCACGTTGCCTTGGAATCTCCGAAGCGTCGATTCCTAAAAGACTACAGAACTTGACAAAGGCTGTAGGTCCCAATGGCTTGGTGAGACCATCCGCGGCCTGTTCCTTGGTGGGAACGTACTGTAGGTCAATTTCTCCTGCATTCAGCACTGATCGCTGATAATGGAACTTCACATTGAAGTGTTTGGTCCGTTTATGAAATTCGGGATTATGGGAGAGCGCAATAGCGGATTGGTTGTCAGCCATGATATGAGTGATTGGGGATCGATACAGATTTGTTTCTGCTAGAAACGTGCGAAGCCATTGCAGATGTAAAATGGCATTGTATTGGCCAATGTACTCGGCATGAGTCGTAGATGTGGCCACTTCCCCCTGTCTCTTGGACGACCAGGAAACTGGCGCACCTGCAAGTTGGAAAACATATCCAGATGTTGAGTAGGCACCGTCAGTGACGACAGAGCCACCAAAATCGGCATCTGTGTATCCAATTAGCTGCCCACTGCGGTAGGTGATCCGGTATGATTGTGTGGCTTTGACGTAGCGTAGCAGCCGCTGAAGGGCGACTTGATGATGCGATTGTGGCTGAGATGTGAAGCGACTCAACATCCCTAGCGCAAACGCGATGTCTGGTCGCGTGCCAACCATCAAATACATGAGCGAGCCAATAGCGATCGCGTAGCGAGATTTTGCTTCTTCATCCGGAGGTTCCTCTGGGCGAGAATTCAGGCTTTGCTTAGGATTCATCGGCGTAGACTTCGGCTGGCAGGTCTCCATACCAAAGTCGGAGAGCACCTTCTGGATGTACTGGCTCTGGTGAATGGATATAGACCCGTCAACATGATGGTCAAACTGGATCCCGAGGAATGACTGTGGGGTACCCAGATCATTGAGCTGGAACTCCGCTTGCAATGCTTGCTGCACTTGTTGGATGGCATGTGCATCCGCGGCAGCAACAAGAAAATCGTCGACATAAACACAAACGACACAGTGCGGCTTGTAGAACACACAGTTGTCCGATTGGGCCATAGTGAAACCCTGAGAAGCCAGGACGCGGTGGACGCATTGGTACCAAATCCGCGGAGCCTGCTTCAGACCATACAGTGAACGGCGCAGCTGACATACGTACCCTGGCTCTTCAAAGCCCTCGGGCAGCTCCATATAGATAGATGAGTCGATATCTCCATGAAGAAAGGCGGTGACTGCATCGAATTGGTGGAGTTTCCATCCGCGTAGCACGGCGCTCGCGACAATGCATCGGACTGAGTCCATCCTGGAAACAGCCGCAAATGTTTCATGAAAGTCGACGCCCTGTTTCTGCCGGTAGCCTTTGATAACCAACCGCGCTTTACGCATCCCGTTCGCTTTGGTCTTGAAGACCCATTTGCAGCCAATCACATGAGCACTGGCCGGAACGTCTTGTCGCCGGATCTTTTTCCAAGTGCCGTGTTCGAGAAGCGACGCATATTCTTTCTGGATAGCGGCCCACCAGTCCAGCTGGTCTGCGCCTGACACAGCTTCGCCAAAGGTCACCGGATCGACTTGTCTGTCCGAAATGGCTTTCAATGCGCCTGTCGAGTACACTTTGCCGAGTGACTCCAGAAGACGCCGTGACGGTCTTCGTCGGCGACCGTAGATTGAGTACCCAAGATCCGAGGTCACGTCAAGTCCCTGTTCGATTGGATTGACCACTGGAGGGATCTCCTCGGGCATTTTCTCTTGCCCATTCGACAGAGATAATGGCGATGCAGGAGGTGTTGGCAGCCCGCTGGCTAAGCGTGGGATCGATGAAAAGACAGGCGATGGAGGAGCGTTGTCCGGGAGGTCGTTGCCTGTTTCCCCCTCGATGAGTGGCGCCACAGGGGTCCGCTCATCGAACTCGACATCGCGGGAGAAGACTGTCTTTCCAGAGTGGATTTCATAGAGCTTGTACTGGTTCGGTTCACAATAGCCCAGTAGTCGGCACTCGGACGATCGCGGCCCGAGTTTGGCTCGATGCTCCTTTGGGATCAAAACCCAGGCACGGGAGCCGATCCGTCGCAGATGCAGGAGCGAGGGCGGCTTCCCATAGATCACTTCATACGGTGTCTTCTTTTGTAGGATTGATGCTGGCGCGCGCAGCTTCAGATAGACCACCGTGTCCAAGAGCTCGGTCCACCAGGAAGGAGGAAGGTTCGCATCGGACAGGAGCGTGTTGATCCGCTCCCGGATAGTGCGGTTCGTTCGTTCGGCCAGCCCATTCTGCCCTTTGCAGTATGGCGGCGAGGTATCAAACTCAACTCCCTGGCGTTCGAGGTGTGTTCCGACCGGCAAATATTCTCTTCCATTGTCGGTAAGGAATCTTCTGATCTGGGCACCAAACTGTCGGTGCACCCATGCCTCAAAATGTCGGAATTTCTGGAGCGCTTCATGCTTCCATCTCATGGCATATGCCCACGAGCCACGAGAATAATCGTCAGTAAAGGTGATCACGTACCTGGAGCCATCCTTGGCGATCGGCATCTCCATGATGTCCGAGTGGATCAATTCGAAAATTCTCGTTGAATGCAGACGTGGCCGTCTTGCGCGGGAGTTCCTCTTCTGATGCTGCTTACCCGACATGCACGCCGGGCACTGCGGCGTTGCCTGCAGCTGCGCCTGCGTCAGCGGTCGGTACGGAGTGCCGGTCTGCCGGAGGACCACCTTCAAGTCGCCCCGGTTCAGATGTCCCATCCGAGCGTGCCACAGCGCTTCGGAGGCCTGGTCCACTCCTGTGCTCGCATCTGCTTCGAGTATCCGTGCTTCACCACCGAGTTCAGAGGTTGGCGATGCGCATCTTACGCCACTTGACTCCTCAGGGTCGTCAACGTCCATGGCCACCGCCTGCGGTTCCAGGGAATCTGCATGGCCATAAATCGTCGGCGCCCTCGCCAGTTGGACTCGCTCTCGGGATCTCTTGCTCACATGGCACCGCAGGATCAGCAGATCCTCCTCCGCATGGTAGGCGGTCCCCACCGTCCGTCCTCGGCGTTGCACAAAGACGTTCTGTGGGTGCGCCACCACCGAGTAGCGGTCTCGTAGCAACTTCGGCACGCTGATCAGGTTCATCCCGACGCGTGGCGCGAAGTACACGTTTTTCAACACCAGGGGTTGGTTGAACTTCCCCCAGAGCGTGAGCTTCACCGTCCCAATCCCTTCGGCTTCCACTGGATCGCCCGCTGTGTCCAACATCTCGCGGAGAGGCCGCAGACTGCTGAAGCAGCTCCGGTCCCAGCAGATGTGGCTGGTGGCAGCCGAGTCCAGGATCCACCGGGGTGACGGTGCGTGGGTATAGAGAGTCGTCACCCTCGCCCTCACAACATTGATCCGCGGTCTCTTGGAAGTCGGCGGGCCATGCCGTTCTTCCGTCTGGCCTGATGGTATTCGTTGCAAATTGCTTCTTGGTGAGCCGGAAACACTCCGTTCAGCCTTCAGGGCAACGTCCCTGGACGACTGTTCTTCTCGCTGTTTCTTCCAGCATTGCGCGACTACATGTCCGCGCTTCTTGCAGTAGTTGCACTTTTTGGTGTTCTTCTGCACTGTATTGATTGAGGGGCTACTCAGTCCGCCAGGCGCTCCGTGCGGGAGCATTGCTGCGTCTTTTCGCTGCACCGTCTGTTCAGCATTTGCCAGACGGTTTCCGATCGTGG